TGGGGCCCAGTCCCCCAAGTGGGCAGGCAAGGGAGGAGGAAGAGGGAGGAGGAGGAGGAAGATGCCCGAGGCACAGTGGGAGATCTAAAGCCATTCCTTCCACTATGCAAAGATGTGCAATGCAATTATTTCCCAGCTTGCTCACAAATATGTCAAGTGACAGACAAAGTGATCTGTCTGAATTTTTCTTAAACCTTTCACGTTTGCTGGTAAAGCACCTAATCAGAGGAGACAATGAATGGTCCATGGACAGATCTCACGCTGGAGAGCAAGCGTCTGTTCAGTGAATCAGTGTCATCTTCACGTTCAGTCGAGTCAAAAGCAGATGTGAATGTTTTTCCCATTAAGAAATCATTTCTTCTCTTAGGGGAGGAACCCAAAGGCGTAATTCCTCCGAACATCTAAAATACTATTTATCAAAACAAATCCCAGGAAATGGAAATGTGGGTTTGTGGTTGGTGGTGTTTGTTTTTGCTTTTTTGTTTTCTTTTTTTGGGGGGGTGGTGATGAAGGAGGGGCACAGAAACGGAGGGATGGAGGGCAAACAAAATGGACAGTAAACAAAGGCAGGCATGGTACTCAGGAAATACGGTGTGGAAAATGAGCTATGCAATTTGTGGGCAGGCAGGGGAGGAGAAAACTATGGGAAAGCGAAGGGAGGGGTGACATTATCCAAAAGAAATGCATTCATTACCTGACTCACGGAATGGTAACCTCTTTGTACAACACCTTAATGATAACAATAAAGTTACATTTTAAAAGTCATTTCTTTTATTTTAAAAAATCACTTCTTTTTTTCTTGGAATGCCTAGTCCCACTTTATATAAACCATCCAGCTGGGGGAAGCTTCTAATATGAATATTAATTTTACCACACATTAGTTATGGTTGGGGACTTTGGCATATCTCTGCAATGAGATTAATAATAGTGAACAAAGCCGGGCACCAGTGGCTCATGCCTGTAATCCCAGCAACTCGGGAGGCTGAGATCAGAATTTTGTGGTTCAAAGCCAGCTCAGGCAAGAAGGTCAATGAGAGTCTTATATCCAATTAATGATCCAAAGAACTGGAAGTGGAGCTATGGCTCAAGTGGTAGAGCACTAGTCTTGCGGGGGGAAAGCTCAAGGACAGCACTCAGGCTCTGGGTTCAAGCCCTAGAACCAGCAACACTCTCTCTCTCTCTCTCTCTCTCTCTCTCTCTCTCTCTCTCTCTCTCTCTCTCTCTCTCTCTCTCTCCTGAACAAGAAAATACCAAGTCCATAGGCTGTGATGTGAATTAATGACAAAACATCCACAATTCCCAACTACTTGTAGCTGCTTCATAAATGATCATTTCTGTTAATAATTGTCTGCCAAGACTTTGCTTGTATCAGCTAGGAGAGTCTAGTTTATGTGACAATAACAATTATGCCCAAATTTTTGTCGTTTACAACAACAGAGGTGGCTATTTCTTGCACATGCTGCATATCCATCGTGGATCAGGCGCAGCTTTGTTCCTGATTCTTCTCTCCTAGACCCACAGCTGTGAAGGACCAAGTCCCTGGGACACTGCTGGCTGCCATGATAGAGGAAGGTCTCCTATCTCATCGAATATTATGGCTCATACATGAAATATATTATTGACATTCAGAGCTCATTGGCCAGAGTCTATTATACATTCTCTAGAGAAGCTCAGGAAGAATAAACACACCAGGTACCTAGAAAAGAAAAGAGCTGGGAAAATGTGGGCAGCATCCCTGTGAATCTCACAATGCATTTAAAAATCCATGGCCCAGACCAGAGGGATAGAGGCTCAGCAAGAGAATGGGAAGAAGGGAGGAGGCAGTGGGAGCAAGGAGGGCCAGGGGGACTCAGTGTGGGGGACGATCTGAGCTGAGGTACGGGACTGGAACACGGGGCACCTTTCTTAGCACGACCTGAGCTCACACAGCCCTTAGGCCATTCTGTGCCACAGGCAAATGAGCTGGTCCTGTTGGAATAGGGCACCGTGGGCTGTCAATCAACATGGATGAAAAGCTGCATGAAGCTCGTGTTTTCTTGGTTCTCCGGCTATGGGCAGAACAGGCACCCAGCACTGTTTCCCTGGCTTTGTCTTTCCTACTCCATTGGCTTCCAGAATCTATTCAGTTCCTGTCATGGTTTGGGAGAGAAGCTAGTGAGTGTTCTGGGGTGTTTTTAGCTAACCCTCTTCTGCTCCTGCCTTGGAGACCAGGCATTTATTCCTCCCTGCTTCAGGCCTCGCACGCACATCCTTTGTTACCACTGACGTAAGAAGCAGCTGCTTTGCTGGCTGCAGCCTCCGAGGGTCCCCTGGGGCCGCAGATGCTCAGCTCTAAGGTGGATACCTGTGCCAACAGTGCCACCTTCTGTCCGGGATGAGGCTGCTGGCAATGAGCAAGGCTTAGTTCCCACTGGGGGATCCTTCTGGTGGTTTGAACCTGGTGTGGGGACTGGGTGAGGCTTCTCCCTGTGTTCCCCAGGGCCCGGACCACTGACTCCATACAGCCAGGTGACAATCAGTTATCTAGACCACCCTCCTGCTAGAACAGTGAATTAGAAGGCAAGGGAATTGGAGGGAAGAAGGGAGTCTAGGGTAAGGATGAGAGAAGGAAGGAAGAAGCTTGATGTAAGATTTTAGGCAAGAAAAGGACGAGTAGAATTACATTTAGATTTAGAATGGCTAAGAGGTGGACACAGCAATGATAAACAATAATGAAGCTAATTAAAGCCTTTCCCCTCATAAATCGCTGACTTTGGAGTTCACAGAGCTGGCAGATGCCTGCCTGAGTTTACCCACTCCCTTACGGCAAGTGACACTTCTGCCACAGGTTTCATGATGGCAGCACTTGACAAGGTTACTTTCCAGGGACACAGAGGACACTTCAGCTGAACATACTGGCTGCTGAGCCTGAAGATGTCCCCTCGGGTCACTGGATCCGGATGAAAATCATGGCATGAGTCTTCATATTGGTCTGTCTCCTTTGCTTTGCGTCAGACCCTCCTCAACTCTGCATGCAGACACGCAGGGCATTTGAGAAAGGTTTTCTCTGGACTACAATTCAAAGTGGACATGACCTAGACTGGTCTAGCTGCTCTCTTCCTCCTTCAAGACTATCAGCACTGGCCCACCACTGCGGCAGGAAACACCAAGCCTTCAAGGAGCAAAAAGACGCGACACCCATGTTCCTACAAGACCCCAGTCTCTTCTCCAAAAGAATATGAGTATTTCTCCCTCCTATTAGCCTATATTACCCATTATTCCTGTTCTATATCTGACTCCTTGGCCCTTGTGGGGTTGAGACATTGATTTCCTTCTCCATTCTTTGATTTTTGAATAAAGCCTTTCTTTCCTACAACACGCTGATCTCTGACATTGGATTTTCCAGGGAAAGAACTTCCTAAACTGAATTCAGTAACAGAGCAACCATATGACCCAGTCCTGACCAATGAGAGACAAGAGAATTTCTGTCTGGAAGTCCCCTGAGTTTGTGATAGGCTTCTTCCGGCTGATGTGGGATGGGGTTCCTTCCTGCTTGATTTGCACACGGTGACCTCGGGACTCTCAATTCCTGGAAAAGCTGTCAGTGGAGAGAAGAGGTGGGTGCTGGGTGGTACCCCAAATGGCTCCTAGCTGGCTCTGCTCATAGCCAAGTGCACAGCTCATGTTAACAACTTCCTTCTCCCTTTCTTGCTGGTTAAATCAGAGGAGCTGAAAACAGAGATGAGATCTTTCTAACAGGTGTGATAGTAGCAGAGTAGCACCAACAATATGATATTAAGTGCAAGACTTGAACTGGAATTTCTGTGTGAAGACTGCAAGTCAAGGTCTAACCACAAACCCAGTGAAATGCATGAGCCTACTGGCACTGCAGCCGCAGGCCTGGCTCACTGGGAGAGCACATGCACCTACTGCAGGATGCGGCCTGGCAGCTGAGGGGAACGGACTGATGGGACTTAGCCTTGAATTCACTGCTGTGGCCACCTTCAGTCAACATCGACTGATCGAGAGCAGGTGACTGTGCCCAGAGTGAGCTCTGCTCTCCTCAAGGGTAGGAGGGAAGGATGCTGAGCCTCCATCTTCCACCAGGTGCTACTACTCTCTTCTAGAACCTTCCAAAGCAGTTTCAGGGCTGCTTTCCTACGGATTAGGATCCCCTAGTCAGGAAATCAACATGGCCCATGATCAGAGACTTTGGTCAAGACCCAATATGGAGCTGCAGACATCCTTGTGACTTGCGATGTTGTAGGCAGGCTGAGCTGTTCTAGAACAAGCCATCCGATCTCCTGGGGGACCATCTGTGCTGGCATCTGTGCTCAGAGTCCTCACTTCCATCCTCAGGTCCAGTCTGCAGCCCTGTTCCCTGGGTTGCTGCTCCTGACACTGTGCTCAAGAGTCTCTGAATGTTCCAGGGATTCAGCATTCAGGGATTGAGCACGGGGTCCTCACTCTGCAGAAGGGCGGCTCCTGTGCACAATCACCCGATCTGCATCTCAGCATGGCTCTCTGGCTGTGCAGAAAAACCCATGCTGATCCCAGGGGGAAGAATGGAGGAGGGAAGTCCAGGAGGAAAAATGACCAAACAGTAGCCTTAGCAAGGACCCACCCGTGGTCTGGGTATCAAAAGCTCAAACTGGAGACTTGGCTCCTCCTGTGAGTTTTCAGGTGAAGGCCTCTGGCCCTGCCATGGCCTCGGCTTCCTCACCTGGAGCATCAGAGCTCACACTCCACAGATATGTACAGTGTTTTATGGCAGTGTGAAAAACAGGGAGAAAAGGTGATAGTTAGGAAATGATTATGAAACGCCAATCAAGTAGGGAAGGAGGTCCACCGAGAACTTTGAGAGTTCTAGGCCACCCACCATCTTACCTCAGAGCTCCAAGCAGGTGACAGTGCCATACAGCCTTGTCTAAGATGGCGATCTCAAGATGGAAAAGGCCCAATCAGAGGCGTCAGGCTGACATCCGGAGTCCAGCCCCAACTGCAGCTCCTCTGCCAGGAAGGCAGCTGTGGGGCTCAGAAGTTTTGGAGCTGCTGTGGACTTTGTCCCCTCTTGACAAGGTGCCAAGGAGGCCAAGCAAGGTTGGTGGCCTCGGGTGACCTGGGGGGGGGGGGTGAGTGGGGGTGGATTTGGTGGGGTTCAGCCAGGAAGCAAGGCATGATGTTTCCAGGTGGCAGGACCTGGAGATCCTGGCAGAGGAAGCCATGCAGGCCACTGTCTAAAAGCTGTGTGGACAGGACGCCCAGCCACAGCCCAGCAAAGAGCCTGCAGTGAACTTGCAGGATGCGGGGAGAGGGGGGAAGAATAGGGAGGGGGTTGTGCAGGGGTGAGGGGCTGAATCTAAGCCCAGTTCCCATGGGGAAGTCCATTGTATTTCTGTGGCACAGCTTTTCTCCTAAAGACCATGGAGACACACTAGGGAGATGGTCTCTCTCTGTCTCTATCTCTCTCTGTCTCTCTGTCTCTGTCTCTGTCTGTCTCTGTCTCTGTCTCTCTGTCTCTGTCTCTGTCTCTCTCTCTCTCTCTCTCTCTGTCAGGTGGTATTGGAGTTTGAATTTAGGGCTTTGTGCTTGGAAGTCAGAGGCTTTACCAAGGAAGCCAGTTCTCTAGTCTAAAATCATTCCTCTGAGAGAGTTAACAGGAAAGGTGATCGGACCTTAAGCACATATTTGGTATGCTGTCTGATTAATCATGCTTCCTGGAAGCCAGAACTTTCAATTTCATTTTCCTTTGCTAGTGCCTGAATATATATAGCCCGAGTCTGCATTCTTGTGTCTGAGAGGCACTACTGGATACACACAGTCAAGGACCACGGGTCACCAGCAAACCCACCAGAGGAAGATTCTGTGGTGAGTTGGGCGTGACCTGCTCTCCCCATCCAATTCCTCACCATCTCCAAAAGGGCTCTCCATTTTATAGATGAGCTCAGAGACGTCAGGCAGTCAGCCCCAGGTCACACTGTGGGGCAACAGCAAAGTCCAGATCCACCCACAGGGTTGTGTCTGCCTGCTCCTCCCTCCCCATGGTTTCTTAAACAGAGCATCAGCAGGAACTGCTCAGGTGAGTTCACAAAGGTCCCCAGGATGAGAGGGCTGCAGGCGAGCTGGCACATGGCCAGCAGGACTGAGAGGAAAGGTAACTGTTGTGGTGCTGCCATTTTGGAAAATGGAGGACACAGAGGAGGTAGAGAAGATCAGGGCACCCAGCACCTAGTAGTCCTGGTGTCCTGGCCACCCTGGAGCTGGCCATGGGTACTGCTGTTAAGCCCTGAGGGAGGTGAACATTTGCTTATGAGAATCAAGAAACCCAGAACTTTTCCACTCAACCTGCCCTTGAACACGGAGACTGTGCCAGGACCTGTGGGGAAACTGAGGCCCCAGGAAGGGACTGGCTGGCCCAGAGTCCTGGGAAGGAGGCAGAGCGGGCAGATGGCCTGGCTCTGCCTGTGGGAGATGGAGGAAGAGGATGGGGTATCCGTGTGTCCAGATGCCAAGGTGACCAGGTCTGGGGACAGCATGCCCAGCACCATCCTGGTTTGCAGTCTTACAATCAAAGGCCTGGCTCTGGCTCTGTGCAGTGGACCTCTGTGTGTGTAGAGGCAGAGGAAAAATCCTAGAAACTTCTGGATTTCCTCCCCCCCCCCCCCCCCCACAGTCCTGGGCTTGAATTCAGGGCCTGGGATCTATCCCTGAGCCTCTCTGTGCTCCAGGCTAGCACTCTACCACTTGAGCCACAGCACCACTTCCCGCTTTTTCTGTGTATGTGGTTCTGCGGAATCAAACCTAGGGTTTCATGCATGCTAGGCGAGCACTCTACCATTAAGCCACCTTCCCAGCCCTGAACCTTCTGGATGTTTATAGTCACACATTTTGCTTCAATTCAGAATGAGAGGCCGGTGCTAAACTCCACTCTGCTCTCCAGAGCTGTGTCTCACTAGGGAAGTCACTTCCCTTCTTGAGCCGCTTTGTGTCATCACTGGTGGATGGAGTGAGGATCTTGCCATGTTTGGTCCATCTCTGGGGTGGTGGGAGGTGGGGAGAGGCAGTTCCAGTAAGCAGGGGAGTGGGGGGAGAGGTAGGAAGAATGGGGGCTGGGCTGAGCTCTGGCCCTGGTGTTGGCCTGGGGAGTGGGGGGAAGGCTTTTTCCTAGCTAAAACCCTCATCAGACTAGCTGGATCCTATGGTCTGGGAAATGTTCTCTTGTGCTTTGTCTCTTTTCTTCTCACATGAAAAGGGTCAGGGCTGTAGGATGCACTTGGGCCAAGCCCTGTCTCAGCACAGTGGAGAAGTCGGGTGCCTCCCCTAGGAACTTACACACACATATAAAACACGCCCATCTAGATCTACACTGAAGAGGCCAGAGCACAGGCTGCACAACAGAGGACTTGTGTCAGAACCACCGGGTGCGGGTTCAGCCTTGTGCACCTGGGGGAGGTGGGGGGAGGGGAGGCATTGTGCTCCTTCCCTCCACACTGCAAGGAACCCCAGGTCCTCATCTCTGTCTGTGTGGTCGCCTCAGGTGGGGCAAGGAAGAGGCCTGTGTGACAGCCACACCCAGTCCATGCTAGCTACTGTCATGGCTTCCCATGCATGCTCCCTGCCCCGGTGTCTGCTGGCCATTCCTCCACCCTTCCTTCTGTGCAGATTCTGTCTTTCTCCATGGCTGTGTCCTCGTCCATTGTCTCTAGGAGGACAGGAGGCCTCTGCCTTGGCTGTGCTCAGGGCAGAGGGAGCTGGAACAAGATGACTAACTTTCTATCCATAGCCACGGAGCACAGGGGAAGAGGGCCAGGGTGGGTTGTGTCCTGGTACCCTGGAGGGAAGCCAAGGAGACTGGCCCCTGCTGCCACCTTGTCTGGAGCTTCCATCCAAACTGTGTTTTCCCTCCTGCAGCTTGGAAAACAACCATGAGTAGAAGAAGTTTTTTGAGAAACATCTTCGGTGGTGCGAAGCATCTGGCCACCTCCCCAGGTAATCATGGTCCTCTTCTCTGTCTGCCTCATACTAGAGGCCTGCCCTGAGGGGCAGCTCCAACCAGAGCTGGCCTGCAGAGGAGTCAGGGCTGGAGGAGGGAGCCTCAAGAATCTACATCAAAGTTTACATCCACCAGTGGGCTTCCTGGCCCTCCCAGAGAGCGGGGCCCTGCTATTCACTTCCTCCTGACTGTGCCTCCCTAGATGAGGCCAGGAGAGGCCTGCAGATGGGGAGGACAGCAGGGGAGAGGATGAAAGGAAGAAGAGGACAGAGGGCAGCAAGAGATCTATACAACCTATATATGTCCCTTGTTCTCCACCTCCCCTACTTCTAAGGTAACTTCATGGGTGGCTCAGGATCTCTGAAGGGCTCAGAGCAAGAGTGACTCAGAATGGCACTGGACTGGGCCCCAGTGTGACCTTGGTGCCCCTGCCCCCACCGGTGACATGAGAGCAGCTTTTGCCCATGTTGCTCTGAGGGTCAGAGGTGATGCGCCTAGGTCCCCAGGCCAGGACCTGCCACACCCCAGCGCCCCTAGTGCCAGTTCCCTCCCTGCACCTGCACCTGCTCCTGTCCCATGCAGCCTCCCCATCCCGCCTGAAGCTGTGGCAGGTGCCCGCCACACTGCAGGGACAAGCACCTGCTTACAGCGGTGACGGCCCCAAAAGGGCTGGGTCTACTGACCATGTGGAAGAAGAGCCTGAAAGGGACAGAGAGGGCAGAGGCCTCCTCCCAGGACCGCACCCACCCACCCACCCACCCCACATCCCTCAGGCCTGCTTGCTCCCCTTGCCTCCCCTCCCCCACCTGCCTTCAACCAGGTCAGTCCTTCCCAGGAGCCAGCCCTGCAGAGCAAGGAAGGAGAGAGGGGGAAGATTCCAGGCCCCACTCCCCGCAGGGCCTGGGATCCTAGAGGGAAGCCTGGGTGATGGAGTCGTCAGGATAAATCTCCCTCCTTTGAGAACTGCTCCGGAGCCAGGTCCTTTGAGCCGTGGAGAGTCATAGGACTGAGCCGAGGCCCAGCAGTGCCACCTCCATCTCCACCGCTGTCCCAGAGCCTCCGCCCTCCGCAGGAGGCTGCTCTCTGCACCACCAGATCACTCCACAGCTCCCACTCATGATCCTCACCTCATCCAGCCCCTCGGGCTCGGGGAGCGTTCCAATGCAGACTTCACAGCAACGTGAAGTGTCCCATCGGCGATGTCAAAACTGATGTCCAGCTGTCCATTCCTGCACAGGGTCTCCTGCTTCTTTCAGAGACCAGCGTGAGACCATGGCCTTCTGCCTGTGTCCCAGTGGAGCTCAGGTCTGCACCACTAGGCCTCATGTGTTTGTTGAGATGAGGTCTGGCTGATTTCTTGTTCAGGCTGACCTCACACTGTGATTCTGTCTCAGACTCCAAAGCAGCTTTGTTACAGACGTGTGCCACCAGGCTCAGCTTTGATTCGTCTTAATTCCTGTACTTCCTTAAGGGACCTGTGTCCACACACAGTCACTGGGGTTAGGACTTTTCCTGTGAACTGGAGGGCGGGCTCAGTTCCACGCATAGTCTCCCATGGGACAGGTCCACACAGGGTGACTTCCTACACCCCTGAACTCCACCCTGCCTCTGACCTTCCCTTTATCCTCCTCAAATAGATGCCAGACAATTCATTGGGAAAGTCACTGATTTTCTTGTGGACCAACTGGGCCCAGAGTATGCCAGCCTCCTGGTGACTGAAGACCAAATCTGGGAGGTGTTTGTGGCTGAGGCTGGACTGTCCAGGTGACCTGCAGTAGGACTTCCCTCTTCTCCCCCTTGTCTTCTCCCCGCCCTCCTCCCCATCTTCCCTACCTCCCTCTCCCCCACCCGCACCCATTGCATGGTGTCCAGCTCCTCCCGTGTGGCCCTCCTCCCCCAGGTCACTGGCCCAGAGGCCAGTCATCTCTGGAGACTCGCCGTGGGGCACAGGCATACTGTGCTTTATCATCAAGTTCCCAGGCGCATCTCCAGCCAGTCAGGATGACAACCAGATTCCATCAAGAGGCTTAATCACACCCTCCTCCTGTCTACCCTGCAGCCTCGCTCCCTCCCAGAGCTCAGTGCCTTTAGTCTCTAGTGCCTCTAGAGGTCAGAAATGGTGTCAAAGCACCCACCCCACATCACCCTTACACTGCCAGGGCCTGGCATTCTTTACCCAGAATCAGTGAGGCCAAATGGGTTCTGGTTATTTTCTTTTGGATTTTGACACATGTACAGGTATGTAATGAAATACCTCGGGGATAGGGTCTGCACTTGATGTGAAATTCATAAAAGATTTATTTTTTGTACATGACACACAACCTGCAGGTGATTCCATAGGCTATTTTACGGCAATCTCTCTGCTGAGGTCATGTGTAGGACTTGCCATGTCTGGCTCCATGGTAGTCCTGAGAGGATTTCAGATTTGGGGTCAGGCGATGGCAGCCCATCCCAGTTTCTGGAGAAGAGGATGTAGGCGATCAGCAGTAATAACAGGCCCTCAGCACACATTCAGGACTGAGCTGGGGTAGGACAAAGTTTGTACAGGGTCTCACCTGAAGCAAAAAACAAAAGGCTAAAGGACCGGAGCTTGCAAGGTTCATGTGGGAGAGGATTTGACCTGCAAGGCCTGAGTCCAATCCCCAGAACTCAGAAATTACGGGTTCACCTTTGGAGGCATTTTGGAATTGGGGATTTTGAATCAGAAATGTTCCACCTGTATGGCCTTGTAGCCAAAGTCTGCAGGATAACACAGCCACTCCTGGCTGGCAGGACTTCCCAGGAGTCTGCAGATCCTTTTCCAGACACTGAGCAGCCAAGGAAGGCTTTGGTAAGGCTGGTGGTTTAACACACTGGTCTTCTAGGATGTAAGGCTCTTTGTTCAATGTCAGAGCCTCCTACTGGCAGAGGCCTTGGCTGTCAAGCATTTATCTTGAGAGGGAGGTTTCTCTCAAATGCCCTTCATGAAAGAACATTCTAAGTTGCCTTTTACTCTTTGACCCTTATTGAGTATGGACCACAGAGCATCTGGGACCTACTAAACTCGTTCATCTTTGAAAGAGCAATACTGAATATCTGTTCCATCCTAGTGAGCCTTGTTTCAGTCTAGTGAAAGCATTGTGACTTGTGCAGGAAAGAAGTTACGGAATCCATTTTGCAGCAAAACAAACTGATGCTCTCCATCCTGTGACATTGACTTTTGCAGGGAGGAGGCAGGGGCAATGAGAGAGGATCTGAAGAACGTTACAGCAGACATGATCTGGAAAGACCAGCAGGATAAGAAGATCTTCTTGCAGAAGTTTCCTGAGATGAAAACAGAGGTTGAGGGGCACATCAGGAGGCTCCGGGCCCTGGCAGATGAGGTCAGCAAGGTGCACAAGGACTGCACCATCTCCCACGTGGTGGCCGACTCCACTGGTGTTATCTCTGGGATCATGGCCCTCTGTGGCCTTCTTCTGACACCTTGCACAGGAGGACTCAGTATGGCACTCGTGGCAGGTGGGATCGGGCTGGGAACAGCATCTTCTGTGACCAGTGCTGCCACCAGCATTGTAGATGGGAGTAAAATGTCTTCAGCCAAAGATGAAGCCATGAAGCTGTTGTCCACAAGCAAGGATAGATTAAAGGAATTAATAGGGATGTGTGTTAGGTTTGCACTTAAAGGTTCATTGGCAATGGATGAGTTCATCCAGTGCCTGAGAGAGCTGGGGCCATATGTCTCTACCTTAAGAGGGGCCAGAACCAACCCTCATCTACCACATGAGTTGGAGGGCCGATTGAACAGGGTGGGATCTTCAAACACCTTTGAGAATGTGGAGAGAGCCTTTCAGGGCCCTGCACAGTCAATGAGCAGAATAACCCGAATCTTGGGGGGAGTCTCCACAGGGATCTTACTTGGGTTAGATTTTACCAGTCTAGTGCAAGATTCACAGCATTTATCTCAGGGGGCAGAGTCAGAGTTGGCCAAAGAGTTGCGCAGGGTAGCTCAGGAGCTGGAGAATAAGTTGATGTTGCTTGTCAGGGTCTACAAGGCTCAGTAGGAGATGCCACCTTCCTAAGCCCTGTCACCACAGAGCCACACCCAGGGAGACTTCCTTCACCTCTCTGCCCCAGCCTTTGTGTGCTCCACAAACCTTCACACAACCTCCTCGGGGGATTCCTGAGACGTAGCATCTGGCTATTTCTATGCCTCCAAACTCCATTCTAAAATGCTCTGCTGGACTTTCTCTTTGCAACTCTCATGAAAACACAGACTGCCTTTACCCTATATGTGTACTGTGGGGCTCTGGGGGCCTCAGGGGCATGATCGCAATCAATAAACTCATCATATGCTACCAGTTGTTGGATGCACGTAAACTTCTCCATGCTGGGTTCTGGAAAGGCATAGCTGGATAACCTTTAGGAGTTAGTAATCTCTAGAGCAGAACTATTCTTTGTCTATCACTGGGACTCTGCTCAACAGCTCCCTATTCAAGTTAACTGCCGCCAGAGCTGTGTTAAAGCAGACTTTCCTACACTTGTGGGAAATAGGTGAAGCTCCACTGTGCGTCAAAGTTGAGTGCCCCTCTGGACTTGGGTGGGAAAATCTTACCCAATAATCCTGATACTGTGACTGTAATGATGGAGGATGAACGTCCAGAATTCCTCATCCCCACCCCCACAGCTTCCAACTATGGCGGTGGGGTTCTTTTCTACTCCCGACCTCATCTGTCACCTTCCACAGGCAGAAGTCAGGAAGAAGGGCACAGGAGCTGGGCAGCCTCCAGCCCACACCAAAACTCAGAAGATGCTCCTGTGACCAAGAAGGAGGAGGAGAGGTTGGAAGCGTGGTTCAGGTGGTAGAGCACCAGTTAATGAGCAAAAATATCAGATAGCAAGTTTGAGTCCTGGTCTTGGACAAAAAGAGAAAAAGGAGGAGCATAATAGAAAGAAGTAGCTGTTTAGAAACTTCTAGTTTTATTGTTTTACTGCATTGAAAAAAATTTAAGTGCACAAAAGTACAGACTTAGGCTCTCAGTCTTTCCTGGGTCACTAATGCAGAATATCCAAGGCAGCATTTGGGGGAGCAGCACAAATTGGCCGGTGTTTATTCTTTAAGCATTATAAACCAAGCGCAGCCCCTGGTGGTCATCTCTCAGATCTCTTTCCCCTGCAGCAGAGTTTAAACCTTTAACCAGAAGCCAAGTCCTTGAGGTTTCCCAGCACCTTGCTAGGCCATCAGAGCTCCCGGGCCAGGCCGCACCATCTCCCTTTCTCTGAGTGTCCTTCCGCTCACACGTGGAAAGACAATGGTGTGACATCGGCACAGATGCGACTCCATACTTTTCATTCTTCAGGGGTGCTTCCTGAGCATCTCCCCAAGAGCCTTCCATCTCAAGGAACCAGAGCTGAGGACAAAGAGATCCCTTTGACTTTGGGTTCACAGCCATGGCCTGGCTTCAAGACTTGGGATTATTTGGGGAAAGAAAAGTTGAGCCTAGAGAGGAAGAGGTCTCTAATGCCACCAATGAAAGAAGGCCAGCGGGAAAGCTAATGCTGACAGCCCAGTGCAGGCAGGGTGGAGCGGAGCCTATGCTGGCTCCACAGTGGCTGGAACATCCAGGGGCTTAGATATGGCCGCAGGGTGGTCACCCAGGATGCACTGGAAGCTTAGTCTGTCCTGCTCCATTGGTTTCCAGAACCTATACAATTCATGTCATGGTTTGGGGAGAAGCAAGGTAGTGTTTCTGGGGTGTTTTTAGCTAACCCCTCTTCTGCTCCTGCCTTGGAGACCAGTCATTTATTCCTCCCTGCTTCAGGCCTCGCACGCACATCCTTCGTTACCGCTGATGTCAAAGCAGCTGCTTTGCTGGCTGCAGCCTCTGAGGGTCCCCGGGGGCTGCAGATGCTCAGCCTTACCTTCCTTCCCGGATGAGGCTGCTGGCAATGAGCAAGGCTTCCAGATCTCCTCCTGCAGTCCCCACTGGGGGATCCAGCACACATTTGGACCTGGGACCTGCGAGTGACTGGCGCTGAAGACAGATTATTTTCTATTCTGCCTCCAACTGGTCTGTGTCCACATTCTGTTCCTGTCTCCTTCTGGCCTCCCCAATCACAGGCCGTTCTTATGCTGCCTGGAACAGCTTGGGCCATTTTCTGCTCCAATCTCCTTCGGTCCTTAGTGGACCTTCAAGTCCTAGCTTGAATGTCTCTTCTGCAGAGAGTTTTCTCACCCTTTTTCCTTTTCTTTCTTCTTTCTTTCCTTCTTTCCTTCTTTCTTTTTTTTTGTCATTTGTGAGGCTTGAACTGGAGGCCTGGGTGCTGTCCCTTAGCTTTTTTGCTCAAGGTTAGTACCCTACCACTTGAGCCACAGTTCCACTTCTGGCTTTTTGGTGGTCAACTGGAGATAAGAGTGTCACAGACTCTCTTGCCCAGACTGGGTTCAAGCCAAGCCTTCAAGGAGCAAAAAGACGTGACACTCATGTTCCTGCAAGACCCCCGTCTCTTCTCAGAAAGAACGTGAATATTTCTCCCTCCTATTAGCCCATATTTCTCCCTCATTATTCCTGTTCTATATCTGACCCCTTGGCCCTTGTGGGGTTGAGACATTCATTTCCTTCTCCACTCTTTGACTTTTGAATAAAGCCCTTCATCCCCAAAATACTCTTATCACGGACGCTGGATTTTCCAGGAAAAGAACTTGTTAACTGGATTCAGTAACATAGCGACCATGTGACCCAGTCCTGACCAATGAAAGACAAGGGCACCATGCCAATGGGCTTCTAGGGGCTTTTGCTATTCAAGACAGGTGTGACAGGAGAGTTGTTTCTCCTTGTTTCTTGCTTTGAAGGAGGCATGAATCCTGAGACAGAGTGACATTTTGAGATTCTGAGACATGAGGACCATGAGCCAACTCGGAGAGGAAGGAGGGCGGACAGACAGAAAGAGCAGGGGCCCAGGGTAACTCCATATATGGGTTAAAGGGCTTCGCCCCAGACCTATCCTTCCTTGTCACCCTTGGTCTCACTCTGAGCTACTCCTTCCTTCCTTCTGTCCTTCCTCCCTCCCTCCTTCCCTTCTCCTTCCTTCCTTCTGTCCTTCCTCCCTCACTCCTCCCCTTCTCCTTCCTTCCTCCCTCCCTCCTGCCCTTCTCCTTCCTTCCTTCTGTCCTTCCTCCCTCCCTCCTTCTCTTCTCCTTCCTTCCTTCTTTTCTTCCTCCCTCCCTACATCCGTCTTTCTTTCTTTCTTTCTTTCTTTCTTTCTTTCTTTCTTTCTTTCTTTCTTTCTTTCTTTCTCTCTTTCTTTCTTTCTTTCTTTCTTTCTTTCATTTACTAGATTGAAAAAAAGGGGGAAAGGAAGTAAAGAATAGTTTTAAAAAAAAAAGGAAGGAAGGAATAGTTGGAGGGAGCAAGCTTCCTAAAAAAGAAGAGAAGCTCTGATTGGGCGTCCCCTGAGTTTTTCAAGGACTTCCTCTGGGGCTGATGTGGGTTGGGGCTCCTTCTTGCTTGACTTGCACAGTGTGAGCTGTTGGGATGACATCTGGGCCTCAATTCCTGGAAAGGCTGTCAGTGGAGAGAAGAGGGTGTGTGCTGGCTCCTATCCCAAACGGCACCTGTCTGTCTCTGCTCATGGCCAAATACACAGCTTGTATACAGAACTTCTCTTCCCACTTGGGGCCTGAGCTCTGCAGGTGCAGCAGAGCAGAGGCTCTCAAACTGTGCCTGAGTTACAACCAGAGCCATCATCCAGGCTATGATCATCATCCTATCGACCTACACACCCAGTGCTGTGGGACACTACCCTCAACCTCACCTTTCTTGCTGAACAATTCAGAGGAGCTGATCATGGAGATGGGTTCTTTCCAATGGGTGTGAGAGTAGCAGAGTAGTGCCAACAATAGGATATTAAGTGCAAGACTTGAACTGGAATTTCAGTGTGAAGACTGGTGTCCAACCCCAACCACAGAGGGAAATGCAGATTAGGCTGCACTGCAGCCTACTGGCACCACAGCCGCAGGCCTGGCTCACTGGGAGAGCACATGCACCTACTGCAGGATGCGGCCTGGCAGCTGAGGGGAACGGACTGATGGGACTTAGCCTTGAATTCACTGCGGTGACCACCTTCAGTCGACATCGACTGATCGAGAGCAGGCGACTGTGCCCAGAGTGAGCTCTGCAGTCCTTAGGAGATGCTGGTCACCTCCTGGTCCTCACTAAGAGTCAGTCTGAGGGACTTGGCCAGGTGTGGAAAAGAAGAAGATGGGGAAGCAGGACAGGAGGGAAGGATGCTGAGCCTCCATCTTCCACCAGGTGCTGCTGCTCTCTTCTAGAACCTTCCAAAGCAGTTTCGGGGCTGCTTTCCTACGGATTAGGATCCCCTAGTCAGGAAATCAACATGGCCCATGATCAGAGACTTTGGTCAAGACCCAATATGGAGCTGCAGACATCCTTGTGACTTGCGATGTTGTAGGCAGGCTGAGCTGTTCTAGAACAAGCCATCCGATCTCCTGGGAGACCATCTGTGCTGGCATCTGTGCTCAGAGTCCTCACTTCCATCCTCAGGTCCAGTCTGCAGCCCTGTTCCCTGGGTTGCTGCTCCTGACACTGTGCTCAAGAGTCTCTGAATGTTCCAGGGATTCAGCATTCAGGGATTGAGCACGGGGTCCTCACTCTGCAGAAGGGCGGCTCCTGTGCACAATCACCCGATCTGCATCTCAGCATGGCTCTCTGGCTGTGCAGAAAAACCCATGCTGATCCCAGGGGGAAGAATGGAGGAGGGAAGTCCAGGAGGAAAAATGACCAAACAGTAGCCTTAGCAAGGACCCACCCGTGGTCTGGGTATCAAAAGCTCAAACTGGAGACTTGGCTCCTCCTGTGAGTTTTCAGGTGAAGGCCTCTGGCCCTGCCATGGCCTCAGCTTCCTCACCTGGAGCATCAGAGCTCACACTCCACAGGTATGTACAGTGTTTATGGCAGTGTGAAAAACAGGGAGAAAAGGTGATAGTTAGGAAATGATTATGAAACGCCAATCAAGTAGGGAAGGAGGTCCACCGAGAACTTTGAGAGTTCTAGGCCACCCACCATCTTACCTCAGAGCTCCAAGCAGGTGACAGTGCCATACAGCCTTGTCTAAGATGGCGATCTCAAGATGGAAAAGGCCTCATCAGAGGGGTCAGGCTGACCTCTGGAGTCCAGCCCCAACTGCAGCTCCTCTGCCAGGAAGGCAGCTGTGGGGCTCAGAAGTTTTGGAGCTGCTGTGGACTTTGTCCCCTCTTGACAAGGTGCCAAGGAGGCCAAACAAGGTTGGTGGCCTCGGGTGACCTGGGGTGGGCGGGTGGGAGTGGAGATGGTGGGGTTCTGCCAGGAAGCAAGGCATGATGTTTCCAAGTGGCAGAAGCTGGAGATCCTGGCAGAGGAAGCCATGCAGGCTACTGTCTAAAAGCTGTGTGGACAGGACGCCCAGCCACAGCCCAGCAATGAGCCTACAGTGAACTTGCAGGATGCGGGGAGGGGGGGGAAGAATGGGGAGGGGGTTGTGCAGGGGTGAGGGGCTGAATCTAAGCCCAGTTCCCATGGGGAAGTTCATTGTATTTCTGTGGCACAGCTTTTCTCCTAAAGACCATGGAGACACACTAGGGAGATGTTCTCTCTCTGTCTCATTGTCTCTCTCTCTCTGTCTCTCTCTCTCTGTCTCTCTCTCTGTCTCTCTGTCTCTGTCTCTGTCTCTGTCTCTCTCTCTCTCTGTCAGGTGGTATTAGAGTTTGAATTTAGGGCTTTGTACTTGGAAGTCAGAGGCTTTACCAAGGAAGCCAGTTCTCTAGTCTAAAGTCATTCCTCTGAGAGAGTCAATAAGGAAAGGTCATCAGACCTTAAGCACATATTTGGTATGCTGTCTGATTAATCATGCTTCCTGGAAGCCAGAACTTTCAATTTCATTTTCCTTTTCTAGTACCTGAATATATATAGCCCGAGTCTGCATTCTTGTGTCTGAGAGGCACTACTGGATACACACAGTCAAGGACCACGGGTCACCAGCAAACCCACCAGAGGAAGATTCTGTGGTGAGTTGGGCGTGACCTGCTCTCCCCATCCAATTCCTCACCATCTCCAAAAGGGCTCTCCATTTTATAGATGAGCTCAGAGAGGTCAGGCAGTCAGCCCCAGGTCACACTGTGGGGCAATATCAGAGCCCAGATCCATACGCAGGGTTGTGTCTGCCTGCTCCTCCCTCCCCATGGTTTCCTAAACAGAGCATCAGCAGGAACTGCTCAGGTGAGTCCACAAAGGTCCCCAGGATGAGAGGGCTGCAGGCGAGCTGGCACATGGCCAGCAGGGCTGAGAGGAAAGGTGACTGCTGTGGTGCTGCCATTTTGGAAAATGGAGGACACAGAGGAGGTAGAGAAGATCAGGGGACCCAGCACCTAGTAGTCCTGGTGTCCTGGCCACCCTGGAGCTGGCCGTGGGTGCTGCTGTTGAGCCCTTTGGCTTATGAGAATCAAGGAACCCAGAGGTTTTCCACTCAACCTGCCCTTGAACACGGAGACTATGCCAGGACCTGTGGGGAGACTGAGGCCCCAGGAAGGGACTGGCTGGCCCAGAGTCCTGGGAATGGGCAGAGCGGGCAGAAGGCCTGGCTCTGCCGGTGGGAGATGGAGGAAGAGGATGGGGCATCCCGTGTGTCCAGATGCCAAGGTGACCAGGTCTGGGGACAGCATGGCCAGCACCATCCTGGTTTGCAGTCTTATAATCGAAGGCCTAGCTCCGGCTCTGTACAGTGGACCCCTGAGTGTGTGGAGGCAGAGGGAAAATTCTAGAAACTTCTGGATGTTTATAGTCACACATTTTGCTTCAATTCAGAGTGAGAGGCCGGTGCTGAACTCCACTCTGCTCTCCAGAGCTGTGTCTCACTAGGGAAGTCACTTCCCTTCTTGAGCTGCTTTGTGTTTTCACTGGTGGATGGAGTGAGGATCTTGCCATGTTTGGTCCATCTCTTGGGTGGTGGGAGGTGGGGAGAGGCAGTTCCAGTAAGCAGGGGAGTGGGGGGAGAGGTAGGAAGGATGGGGGCTGGGCTGAGCTCTGGCCCTGGTGTTGGCCTGGGGAGTGGGGGGAAGGCTTTTTCCTAGCTAAAACCCTCATCAGATTAGCTGGATCCTATGGTCTGGGAAATGTTCTCTTGTGCTTTGTCTCTTTTCTTCTCACATGAAAAGGGTCAGGGCTGTAGGATGCACTTGGGCCAAGCCCTGTCTCAGCACAGTGGAGAAGTCGGGTGCCTCCCCTAGGAACTTACACACACATATAAAACACGCCCATCTAGATCTACACTGAAGAGGCCAGAGCACAGGCTGCACAACAGAGGACTTGTGTCAGAACCACCGGGTGCGGGTTCAGCCTTGTGCACCTGGGGGAGGTGGGGGGAGGGGAGGCATTGTGCTCCTTCCCTCCACACTGCAAGCAACCCCAGGTCCTCATCTCTGTCTGTGTGGTCGCCTCAGGTGGGGCAAGGAAGAGGCCTGTGTGACAGCCACACCCAGTCCATGCTAGCTACTGTCATGGCTTCCCATGCATGCTCCCTGCCCCGGTGTCTGCTGGCCATTCCTCCACCCTTCCTTCTGTGCAGATTCTGTCTTTCTCCATGGCTGTGTCCTCGTCCATTGTCTCTAGGAGGACAGGAGGCCTCTGCCTTGGCTGTGCTCAGGGCAGAGGGAGCTGGAACAAGATGACTAACTTTCTATCCATAGCCACGGAGCACAGGGGAAGAGGGCCAGGGTGGGTTGTGTCCTGGTACCCTGGAGGGAAGCCAAGGAGACTGGCCCCTGCTGCCACCTTGTCTGGAGCTTCCTCAGTCCATCCACACTGTGTTTTCTCCTCCTGCAGCTTGGAAAACAACCATGAGTGCAAGAAATCTTTTCAGAGTCACCTCAGCTGGTGCGAAGCATCTGGCCACCTCCCCAGGTAATCATGGTCCTCTTCTCTGTCTGCCTCATACTAGAGGCCTGCCCTGAGGGGCAGCTCCAACCAGAGCTGGCCTGCAGAGGAGTCAGGGCTGGAGGAGGGAGCCTCAAGAATCTACATCAAAGTTTACATCCACCAGTGGGCTTCCTGGCCCTCCCAGAGAGCGGGGCCCTGCTATTCACTTCCTCCTGACTGTGCCTCCCTAGATGAGGCCAGGAGAGGCCTGCAGATGGGGAGGACAGCAGGGGAGAGGATGAAAGGAAGAAGAGGACAGAGGGCAGCAAGAGATCTATACAACCTATATATGTCCCTTGTTCTCCACCTCCCCTACTTCTAAGGTAACTTCATGGGTGGCTCAGGATCTCTGAAGGGCTCAGAGCAAGAGTGACTCAGAATGGCACTGGACTGGGCCCCAGTGTGACCTTGGTGCCCCTGTCCCCACCGGTGACATGAGAGCAGCTTTTGCCCATGTTGCTCTGAGGGTCAGAGGTGATGCGCCTAGGTCCCCAGGCCAGGACCTGCCACATCCCAGCGCCCCTAGTGCCAGTTCCCTCCCTGCACCTGCACCTGCTCCTGTGCCATGCAGCCTCCCCATCCCGCCTGAAGCTGTGGCAGGTGCCCGCCACACTGCAGGGACAAGCACCTGCTTACAGCGGTGACGGCCCCAAAAAGGGCTGGGTCTCCTGACCATGTGGAAGAAGAGCCTGAAAGGGACAGAGAGGGCAGAGGCCTCCTCCCAGGACCGCACCCACCCACCCACCCACCCCACATCCCTCAGGCCTGCTTGCTCCCCTTGCCTCCCCTCCCCCACCTGCCTTCAAGGTCAGTCCTTCCCAGGAGCCAGCCCTGCAGAGCAAGGAAGGAGAGAGGGGGAAGATTCCAGGCCCCACTCCCCGCAGGGCGTGGGATCCTGGAGGGAAGCCTGGGTGATGGAGTCGTCAGGATAAATCTCCCTCCTTTGAGAACTGCTCCGGAGCCAGGTCCCCTGAGTCGTGGAGAGTCACAGGACTGAGCCGAGGCGCAGCAGTGCCACCTCCATCTCCACCGCTGTCCCAGAGCCTCCGCCCTCTGCAGGAGGCTGCTCTCTGCACCACCAGATCACTCCACAGCTCCCACTCGTGATCCTCACCTCATCCAGCCCCTCGGGCTCGGGGAGCGTTCCAATGCAGACTTCACAGCAACGTGAAGTGTCCCATCGGCGATGTCAAAACTGATGTCCAGCTGTCCATTCCTGCACAGGGTCTCCTGCTTCTTCCAGAGACCAGCGTGAGACCATGGCCTTCTGCCTGTGTCCCAGTGGAGCTCAGGCCTGCACCACTAGGCCTCATGTGTTTGTTGAGATGAGGTCTGGCTGATTTTCTTGCTCAGGCTGACCTCACACTGTGATTCTGTCTCAGACTCCAAAGCAGCTGGGTTACAGACGTGTGCCACCAGGCTCTGTGTCCACACACAGTCACTGGGGTTAGGACTTTTCCTGTGAACTGGAGGGCGGGCTCAGTTCCACGCATAGTCTCCCATGGGACAGGTCCACACAGGGTGACTTCCTACACCCCTGAACTCCACCCTGCCTCTGACCTTCCCTTTATCCTCCTCAAATAGATGCCAGACAATTCATTGGGAATGTCACTGATTTTCTTGTGGACCAACTGGGCCCAGAGTATGCCAGCCTCCTGGTGACTGAAGACCAAATCTGGGAGGTGTTTGTGGCTGAGGCTGGACTGTCCAGGTGACCTGCAGTAGGACTTCCCTCTTCTCCCCCTTGTCTTCTCCTCACCCTCCTCCCCATCTTCCCTACCTCCCTCTCCCCCACCCGCACACATTGCATGGTGTCCAGCTCCTCCGTGTGGCCCTCCTCCCCCAGGTCACTGGCCCAGAGGCCAGTCATCTCTGGAGACTCGCCGTGGGGCACAGGCATAGCTGTGCTTTATCATCAAGAAGGCAAGACTATTCGTAATAACCCCACAAAAAATACCTAGGAATTAACTTAACCCAAGAAGTGAAGGACCTGTATGATGAAAACTTTAAAAATTTGAAAAAAGAAATCAAAATAGAACTTAGGATGCAGAAAAACCTCCCATGCTCCTGGATTGGAAGAATCAACATCGTGAAAATGGCAATACTTCCCAAGGCTATCTACAAATTCAGTGTAATACATATCAGTATTCCCACCTCATTCCCAGGCGCATCTCCAGCCAGTCAGGATGACAACCCAGATTCCATCATGAGGCTTAATCACACCCTCCTCCTGTCTACCCTGCAGCCTCGCTCCCTCCCAGAGCTCAGTGCCTTTATCCTTTATTGCTTGTAGTGGTCAGAAATGATGCCAAAGCACCCACCACACATCACCATCACTTGGCTAGGACTGGAGGTCCTTTACTTGGAAACAGTAAGGCCAGAATGGTTTGTGTTCTTGTTTTGTTTTTCTCTGATTTTGACACATATGCAGGTATGTAATGAAATTCCTTGGCAATAAGATCAGTGTTTGACATGAAATTCAGAAAAAGTTTTATTTTCTATACATTACACATGCATCCTGCATCCTGCAGGTGAGTCCACACTCTATTTTAGAACAATCTGTCTGCTAAGGTCAGTTGTAGGGCTTGATATGTCTGTCTCCACACCAGTGCTGAGAGGATTTCAATTTGGGATCAGGCAATGGCAGCACACACCTGCCATCCCAGCTACCGGACAGGAGGATGTGGGTGATCAGCAGTGATACCAAAGTGCCCAGCACAGGTGCAAGTCTAGAGCAGGGTGGGCAAAGTTTGCATATTGTCTCATTTGGAATACAAAAGCCAAAATGACTGGGAGCTTGCATGGTTCATAGGGGAGAGCACTTGATTGCAAAGCCTGAGTCTAATTCCCAGTACTCAGAAAATCCAGGTTCACATTTGGGGGCATTTCAGAGTTGGGAATTTTGAATCAAAGATACTCAACCTGTATGGTCTCAAAGCCAAAGTGTATAGGCTAACTCAGCCACTCCTGGCTGGCAAGACTTCCCAGGAGTCTGCAGATCCCTTCCCAGCCACTGAAGACCCAGGGAAGCCTTTGGGGCAGGCTGCTGGTTTAACACACTGACCTTCTCTGACCTAAAGCAGAGCTTCCTATTGGCCAATGCCCTGGCAGCCATGGATGAATCTTGAGAAGGAGGTGTCCTTCAAATGCCTTTCATGAAAGAACTTCTTAGGCTGACTCTCCTTCCTTGCCCTTTCTTCAATATGGGCCACAGAGCATCTGTGATGTACTAAACCTATTCACCTTGAATAGAATAATGTTGAATATCTGTTCCATTCTAGTAACTCCTGTTCCATGTTAGTGAAAGCTCTGTGACTTGTGCAGCAAAGAATTTATGGAATCCATTTTTTTTTTTTTTTTGGAAAAAACAAACTGAATGACATTTACTGTTGCAGGGATGAAGCTGGGGCCCTGAAGAAAGCGCTGAAGAATGGCACCGCAGACACGGTCCAGCAAGGCCAGCTGCAGAGGAAGATCTTGCAGAGGTTTCCTCAGGTGAAAACAGAGGTTGAGGGGTACATCAGGAGGCTCCGCGCCCTTGCAGATGAGGTCAGCAGGGTGCACAGGAACTGTACCATCTCCCACGTGGTGGCCGACTCCACCGGTGTTGCCTCAAGACTCATGACCCTCGGCGGTCTCGCTCTGGCACCATGCACCGCAGGACTCAGTCTGGGGCTGTCTGCAGGTGGGATTGGGCTGGGAGCAGCAGCTTCTGTGACCAGTGCTGCCACTAGCATTGTAGAAGGAAAAAACATGTCTTCGGCCAAAGATGAAGTCACAAAGCTATTGTCCGTAAGCACGGAGAGGTTGAAAGAGTTATCAGAGATGGCGGGTAGTTTATCACTCAAAGCCGTGTTGGCATCTGATGAGTTCATCCAGTGCCTGAGAGAGCTGGGGAAACATGTCCGTGCCTTCAGACAGGCCAGAGCCAACCCTCAGGTTCTGCGACAGGCGAGGGGCCTAATGAACACTTGGAGATCTTCGAGAGGCTTTGAGAGTGTGGAGAGAGCCTTCGGTGGCACTGCACTGGCGATGACCAGAGGAGCCCGAATCTTGGGGGCCGTCCCCACTGGTGTCTTCCTTGGGATGGATGTGGTCAGCCTCGTGCAAGATTCACAGCATTTGTCTAAGGGAGCAGAGTCAGAGTTGGCCACAGAGCTGCACCGGGTGGCCCAGGAGCTGGAGAGCAAGTTGGAGTTGCTTGTCAAGATCCACAGGAAATTGTCATCAGGCCAGGCTCGGTGAGGTGACCCCCACCTTCTCAAGCAGTGCAGAGGTTAGCGGAGACCAGTGGAGCAGAAGTGTGGGCAAATATTGCAATGTGTTTGAAGATGAGTCTATGCAGTGAGGTGGAAATGAATTAAGGATTTGTGGGAATAGCCACGAGAAGAAGGTCAGGAAATTGAAGAGCTGAAGGAGAGAAAGCCAGAGCTGGAAGTTGTTAGAATAAGGAGAAAGAGATGGGGTCCCCACGGTCTGATGTCCCAGCAAGAATAAAGTCTTTCTCTGGTTTCTCCAGTCCTGTTTCTCTAATACTGATTCATCTTCGTCTTGTTCAGGAAATGATATCTTGGCAACAGTAATGACAATGACAATGAGGATGGTGGTGGTGGTGGTAGCAGTAAAGATGAGGAGGAGGAGGGTGAAGGTAGTGGCATGAGTGAGTAGAGCACTGGCTGGTGGCCATTCCTCTTGGGGCAGAGGACCTCCGAGGGATCACTATAGCCCCACTGACCCTCAGATGCTGTGTTGAACAGTGGTTGATTCATGGCATGGGTGGGGGTGCTGACAGATTCAAAGAACAGGTGAAAGAACTTTGTCGTGGTCGACCTGATGGGAGTGAACAGATGCACCTCTCAGAGCCTGTTTCTCATTAGCCTGGAAGGGGTGCTGGCCTCAAGGGTATCCGAGATCCATCGGGTTATTCCCCTTTGATCATCTAAGGACTTTTTCTCAGTAACTATTAACTGACTACTCTGGGGAAATTGGGCTGTAAAAGAATCTAGTACCATAGTCAGAAGATGACCTGAGATGAAAGAGCCAGAGAGATCTAGCAGTACACAGAAGGTGTGTGGACATCTACATCTACATTAATGTATGTGTATATTTATGTATATATGTATCTATATATGTATGTATGTATGTATCTATCTGTGTGAATCTATCTCTGTCTAGCTAGCTATCATCTATCTATATCTATTGGAACTAGAGATACATGGGGAAGGGAAGAAGGAAGGCTAGTGGCTGTCTACCATCAAGTCACAAGCAGGGGCTAATAAAGTCTCAGAAGCACTTCTATCCTAGCTGAGATGGACTTGGTTATATATTTCTGGCATGAACGGTACCGACTCAGTTTAAGGACTGCATGTCACTTTCACAGTTCATCCAGAGTCAACTGGCAAATGAATCAGGGGAACACACCAGGGTCTCTCAGGGGCCTTCATGGAGGGTGTGATCAAGATGGCCCCAGCCAGGCCAAGTGGGGTCCTGACACACAGAGCCTTTGCTGTGCTGACTGACCAGCTCACAGGATTGGGCACAGGAGCCTTCTGCATCCAGCAGTTGGGGCCCAGGATAGATGAGGGTCAGAAGGCCTGAGGGCATCTCTAAGACCTAGAGTCCAATGCATTTCCTCCTGCCATTAGTGCAGCAACATCGGTGAATTTCTCTTACTACTAAGATGGATTAGCACTTCTAACCCAGCATCCTCCTTGTTATCCCTACATCCAGTAACCCAGGTACATAATACTATCTTTTCAGAGAGCAGTTTTGGTGAGCTCTGCGAAGCATTCCAGCTTAGAAACATCAAGTCCTGAAGTTTGTAAAACCATGAGCAGGGAGAGCAAAGTGTTTGAAGGAGGTGCATTATGTGAGATCGTCAATACGCTGGACAATTGCCTTCCAAATGGAGAGGTGGGACAAGACCACCTGTGAGGTTCTATGGCTCTGTGGGAAAACATCTGAATTCCCTTGCTGGTAGGGAACTTCTCCAGTTCTGACAAGCAGATGGGCCATCTCCATGCTTCCTGCATCTCCCGCCACTGTTGCGATGTACAGCAGGTGATGGAGATTTTTCTATGTAACCTTTTATAAACCCTGTGCCCGTGAGTCACCGCTTCCTGATCTCTCCAAGTCTCAGATTCGTGCCTTTATCCTAGATCTTTTTCTACAAGGTAACTTCTCTGACTTTCCAGGACATGAGCTCCTTCCCTTCCTCCTCCAGCCAGAGATTCTTTAGCTTTTTCTGTCACCATGGGGCCACACCCAGGGAGACTCCCTTCATCCCGCTGCCTCAGTACTTGTGGGCTCCGATCCTTCACACATCCTCCTTGGGGGATTCCTGAGACGTAGCATCTGGCTATTTCTATGCCCAAACTCCATTCTAAAATGCTCTGCTAGACTTTCTCTTTGCAACTTTTATGAAAACACAGACTGCCTTTACCCCACATGCATATCATGGGACTCCGGGGGCCGAAGGGGCATGATCTTAATCAATAAACTCATCATATGCTACCAGTTGTTGGATGCACGTGAACTTCTCCATGCTGGATTCTGGAAAGGCATAGATGGTTAACCTTTAGGAGTTAGCAATCTCTAGAGAAGAATCATTCGTTGTCTATCACTGGGCCCCTCTGCCCAACTGCTCCCTATTCAAGTTAACCGCTGCTGTAGCTGAGTTAAACCAGCCTTTCCTACTTACTGGAAATTTCCCTTATGTGAAACCCTCTATTTCACTTGTGGAAACTATAGGTGAAGGTGCACTGTGCATCAAGGCTGAGTCTTGTACTGAGTCCAGATACTGAGTCTTGGTACTGCGACAGTAATGATGGAGGATGAACGTCCAGAATTCCTCATCCCCACCCCCACAGCTTCCAACTATGGCAGTGGGGTTCTCTTCTACTCCCGACCTCATCTGTCACCATCCACAGGCAGAAGTCAGGAAGAAGGGCACAGGAGCTGGGAAGCCACCAGCCACACCAAAACTCAGAAGATGCTCCTGTGACCAAGAAGGAGGAGGAGAGGTTGGAAGCGTGGTTCAGGTGGTAGAGCACGAGCTAATGAGCAAAAATATCAGATAGCAAGTTTGAGTCCTGGTCTTGGACAAAAAGAGAGAAAGGATGAGGATAACAGAAAGAAGCACAACAGTAGCTGTTTAGAAACTTCTAGTTTTATTGCTTTACTGCATTGAAAAGAATTTTTTTAAATTGTATTGTAAAGATACTCTACAGAGGGGTTACAGTTGCATGAGTAGCATGTAACTGTACATGAGTACATTTCCTATTGAGCATTGTTACTCCGTCCTTTGTTTTTCCTCTACCATCCCTTCCCTCCCCACCTCTCCTATCCTTCCTCTTCCCCCCACCCCCTCACTCTGAAGTTGTAAGGTTTGTTTTCAACATAGTATCTTGTACATCCCATTGTTACAATGGGTCAACCTGTATCCTTGTCTCAGCATTTTATTATTTCCCTTCTCCTCCTCAAATTAGCGAAGTGTCTATACAAGATTCAGGGCACCGAAATCAAGTACAGTGACAACAGGGGTTATACCATGGGGGAAGAACATACCAAAGGAACAAAAAAAATCACATAGTACATTAAAAACAACAGCAACAAAGAAAAAAACCTCATGTCCATTTTTTGGGGTTCATTTCACTTAGCATCATCTTATATGGTCATCTGGACATAGCTTTTGACCTTTTCTGCTTGTCTGGTAGGATTATCCTAGCTATATATGAGTTATTGCAAATAAGGGGAACCATGGGACCTATCTTTGGGTCTGGCTTAATATAGTTTTTTCCAAGTCTTTCCATTTCCTAAGAAAAGAATTTTTTAATTATGTAAAAGTACAGACTTAGGCTCTCAGTCTTTCCTGGAGTCACCAGTATAGAAAATCCCATGGCAGCATTTGGGGGAGCAGCACAAATTGGCCGGTGTTTATTCTTTAAGCATTATAAACCAAGCGCAGCCCCTGGTGGTCATCTCTCAGATCTCTTTCCCCTGCAGCAGAGTTTAAACCTTTAACCAGAAGCCAAGTCCTTGAGGTTTCCCAGCACCTTGCTAGGCCATCAGAGCTCCCGGGCCAGGCCACACCATCTCCCTTTCTCTGAGTGTCCTTCCGCTCACACGTGGAAAGACAATGGTGTGACATCGGCACAGATGCGACTCCATACTTTTCATTCTTCAGGGGTGCTTCCTGAGCATCTCCCCAAGAGCCTTCCATATCAAGGAACCAGAGCTGAGGACAAAGAGATCCCTTTGACTTTGGGTTCACAGCCATGGCCTGGCTTCAAGACTTGGGATTATTTGGGGAAAGAAAAGTTGAGCCTATGGGCTGGGAAGGTGGCTCAATGGTAGAGTGCTTGCCTTGCATGCCTGAGTCCCTGGGTTCGATTCCTCAGCACCACATAAGCAAAAAATAAAAAAAGCCAGAAGTGGCGCTGTGCTTCAAGTGGTAGAGCGCTAGCCTTGAGCTGAAGTGCTGAGGGACAGCGCCCAGGCCCAGAGTTCAAGTCCTATGACCTGACCCCGCCCCCCCCCCAAAAAAAAGAGAAGTTGAGCCTACAGAGGAAGAGGTCTCTAATGCCACCAATGAAAGAAGGCCACGGGAAAGCTAATGCTGACAGCCCAGTGAAGACAGTGAGGAGCAGAGCCTATGCTGGCTCCACAGTGGCTGGGACGCCCAGGGGCTTAGATATGGTCCAGGGTTGGTCCCCAGGACGCACTGGAAGCTTGGTCCTTAGTGTGGCATAGTGGGAGGGGTGGGACCTTTAAGAAGAGGAGCCTAGTGACCGTCGGAAGTATAGGCCCTCCCCTGCTCTGCCTTCATTTGTCCCAGATCATAACGTGGTGAGTGTATGTTGGGAGGGGTCCTCATTTGTCCACACAGTCACCAGCCCATCTCTCCTGACCTCTCTGCTGCTCTAAAGAGGACATCCAACTCACATCCGACAGCACTCTCTCGTGAATCTGCATGAGCTCCTCCAACTTCTTCTCCAGCTCCAGAGCCTCCTGCCGCAGCTTTTCAGCGGACTCCGCCTTTGGGCCCTGGAACAAACGCTTTGACTCTTTCACGAGGTTGACGACATCCATCAGAAGGAAGACACCTGCAGTGGTGGCACCCATCCTCCGGGCTCCTTTGGTCATTGCCAGAATGGTGCCTCCAAAGGCTTTCTGCACCTGCTTAGTGCTTCGGGCTGAGATGGTCCCCGTGGTCATGAGAGTCCGGGCACTGGCTGCTAAGCGAGGGTTGGCTTTGGCCAGCCTTATGGCTTCCATGTTCTTCTGAAGGTGTGGCAGGTCTTGGAAGTACTTCTTGCCTAAAGCAGCAACTTTGGGTGTGGTCTCGGTCAAAACCTCCTTCACTGTCTTCCCTTTGACCATGCTGGTTGACAGCAGGTGAGTGGCTTCCGCTTCCACAGACCACTTCCTCACGCCTCCCACAAGGCTAGAGGCAGCACTGGTCAGAGCGGACACCGCCTCCAGCCCCAGCCCCGAGACGAGGAGCGTCGCAACGCCCCCTAGTGTCACCGGGGCCACAGCCAGGCCGAGGATCCTCAGGACTCCAGAGGGTGGAGCTGGCCACCACACGGGAGATGGCGCAGTCCCTCTGTACCTTGTCCGCCTTGTCTGCAAGCTCACGAAGCTTTCTTATTTGCTCCTCGAGCTCCATTTTCACCTGAGGAAATGTGTCCAGAAAGCTTTTCCTATCCTGCAGCTCTGTGCACAGCCTGTCCGTGTCCTCCATGGCTGCATCTGCCGCCAGCTGCTCCAGAGCTTTGCGGAGCGCAACACCTTCATACCTGTAACAGCGAAGCCCACAGAATCAAGAAAGATGGTGTGCGTATCTGTAAAACAGGCTTCTTAAGATCCACCACCCTGTCCCAATCATGGAGCATTTTTTTTTTAAATTTCACCAAGAATCAAATACCAAAGAATTTTGCTAATATGTAAATTTTTTCATCCGATACTGAACACCTTTGGGAAAGCCACGGTTGCTCTGTGGTCCTTATGCAATTAAAGGGGCAATGCATACAAGTCAATGTGCTTTCGAATTGTAGACAGTTGATAAAGGTGACTTCTTACTCAAGGTCGATGCCAGTATCACCACGCTATATAGAGCAGGAGTGCTGTAGGTGAACAAAAGACATTCAAGATTGGGAGCACACAAACCTTTTAATTTAGAGAATAGCAGCATGTCGTAAGAAAATAACTTCAAAGCCTTCAGGGAGAAGCCTTCTTTTTGGCCAGCATCCTAGACCCACTCCTGTTACTGTTCTTGATTTTTTGTGGGTTTTGTTGTTGCTGTTGGTGGTGGTGGTGGTCCTGGGGCTTGACCTCTGGGCTTGGACTCTGTCCCTGAGCTTCTTTTTGCTGAAGGCTAGCTCTCTACCACTTGAACAATAGAGCCACTTCTGGCTTTTTTTTTTTTTTAGTAGTTTATTGGAGATAAGTATCTCGTAGACTTTCCTGCTCGAGCTAGCATTGAACTGTGATCCTCAGATCTCAGCAATAGGCGTGAGCCACCAGTGCCCAGCTCCTGTTCCTCCATGACCCTTGGTTCTGACCCTCACCTCAATCTCTGGGTTTTGGAAAGGTGCTGGGTGTCCACCATACACCCAGCACGTTGCTGACCTATCTTATGTTTCTCACCATAAAGTACAATGGATGAGGGAACGAAGACACAGTAATTAAGTTGCCAAAGTACAAAACTAGAAGATGGTAGAAATGATTCTGGCCCCTAGGTGGACTGTCTGCCTTTACTCTGAGATTAGTCTCTGTCAGGGAATAACCTTGAGAAAACACTAGTGAGTTGTTTACAAGGGACGTCCTCAACTCCAACCACAGGGCCTGTCTGGGAGGTGGGCCTCCTGAGCAAACGAGCCCAGCAGGAGCGAGGCACACCCACCCTCAGGGACTTCCCCTGAAGGTCACCTGGACAACACAGCCCCGGCCATAAATTCCCAGGCATCATCTTCAGTCAGCAGGAGCTGCAGGTAGTCCCAGTTTGCTGGATCCTGGAGATTGTCAATGACAAACTTAAAGAAGTCTTTGTTTTCTAGGTAGGAAGAGAAAAGAAGAAGGTTAGGAAAGGGTATGGTAAAGCGTGAATGGTATCAAGGACAAAGGAGTTAACTATGTTGCTGAACATCTGTTGCTGAACACACACACATACACACACACCTGGTCATTCCTTGATCATGAAATGGAAGTTGGTTGCAGAACTGTAAGGAAACAATTTGGTTCATAGTGTTGTATTTTGTGATGGCATCTGGAAATTAATGCACCAAGGAAGTGTGCCATGGAGGTTGTCAGAGAAATCAGTCATTCTGACTTTCAACTTGCCTGAAGTGAGAAATGTATAGATGAATAAAATACACATACGCACACGCCTAAATGTGTCCATGAATGTATTTCCAAAGAGAATTAGATCAAAGGGTTTCTGACCTAATGAGTGGGTTCAGCCATTGATGGAGTCAAACCTTGAGTAAGCTGTTGGAATGTGACTGAAGTTGGAAGGCTGGGCCTAGTTGCAGGAAATGGGTCACAGGGGATGAATGTCCCAAGGCTGCATCTTGCCCCGCCCCTTCCTGCTACTCCTTACATTGTTTCCTGACAACTATGTGCGATTGTGCCATGTGCACAGCTTCTCAACAGCTTCTTCACACATGATGGGGGCCAGCATCTCAAACTGATCAAAATTAATCTCTCCTCCCTTTAGTTGTTTGGGTCAAGTATTGGGTCACAAAGATGATAATACTAACTAACACAAGTGTGTTTGGCACTAGTTTATTGGAGGAAAGAGAGAGAGAAAGAAAGAGAGAAAGAGAGAGAGAAAGAGAGAAAGAGAGAAAGAAAGAAAGAAGGAAGGAAGGAAGGAAGGAAGGAAGGAAGGAAGGAAGGAAGGAAGGAAGGAAGGAAGGAAGGAAGGAAAGGAAAGGAAGGAAGGTAGGTACCAGCCAGGTACCAATGGCTCACATCTATAATCCTAGCTATTCAGGAGGCTGATATGTAGAACTCAAGTTCAAAGGCAGCCAAGGCAGATAAATTGGTAAGCTTATCTTCAATTAAGTAGCAAAAAATGGGAACTGGAAGCATGGCTCAATTGGGAGAGTGCCAACCTTGAGCAAAACAAAACAAAACTGAGCCCTTGAATTCAAGCCTTGTACTAGCACACACAAAGAAAGGAAGGAGGGGGGGAAGGAATTACTACAATGCCAAAGTGAAATTAATATAATGTTGACTACACTTGAATTATTACATATGTACAGTTGTACATATTCCATATGTACATGTGTGCATGTGTGTGTGTTTAGTTAAATTCCTGGGACCTAGATATGATTTGGAATTTGGATCTTTTTAATATTTTGAAAAGACTCCTTGATATCTTTTTCATTGACTTACTATAATTGCGTATCTTTATGGGGTACAGTATGATATTTCAAGGTAATTGGTATCACATCATCTTAAGCATTTATCATTTCTTTGGCCAGGGACATTCAAAATCTTCGTTACTAGCTATTTTGGAATATGCAATTAGGTTTTTCAATGTTTTAGAAAATGAAGCCTAGAGTGATAGTTGTAGCTCCTGGTAAGCTAAGGCAGGAAGATTGTGACTTCAAAGCCAGGCTAGGTTGCACAGTGAGTCACAGGCCAGACTGTGACTACAAGAGAGAGGGTGGGGAGAAATGGAGAGGAAGGAAGGAAGGAAGGAAGGAAGGAAGGAAGGAAGGAAGGAAGGAAGAAAGGAAGGAGGGAGGGAGGGAGGGAGGGAGGGAGGGAGGGAGGGAGGGAGGGAGGGAGGAAGGAAGAGAGGGAGGGAGGAAGGAAGAGAGGGAGGAAGGGAGGAAGGGAGGGAGAGAGAGAGGGAGAGAGGGAAGGAAAGAGGGGGAGGAGAAGGGAGGGAAGAGAGAAGGGGGGAGGAAAAGAGGGAGGGAGGGAGGAAATGAATACCAGACTCATAAAGTGTTGCTTGCCCACCCAAGTAACCCGAGTAACTAAAAATATTAATGCTTGACCCTGAAGCAAATGGATATTCATATCAATGAGATAAATAGTATAATAACTCCACATAGCATGAGCCCAGCGGTGGTCAGGACAGTGCTTGCCTATGTAGTTTGCAGTGACGTGGAGATGATGGGATGGCAGGGCAGGAACTGAGACCAGGACATGCTTATGGACATGGTCTGGAATGTGCTTCCTGGTGGGTACAGGCAAGGGAGGCAGTGTGGCCTCCTTCCACAGGAGACCAGGAGTCTCGGAAAGGAAGGGGGTGGCTTCACAGCAGAGCCTAGAAAATCCCAAGATACGAACCCAAGACCGACTAGACAACAATTTTTAACATTACTTTCAAGGCTCATGTTTTCTAAATTCCAGTGGTTCCTGAATTGTGTTCTATAATATCAGCATGGGAATTTTAAATTTGATTGGAAAAAAAAAGACATTTCAAGTTTACACTCTGGAGAAAACTGGTCACATAGAAAGGCTCCTCCTGCTAACGATGGAGACAGAGGCGGGCAGTGGAAGGGGGAATCTTCATGTGGTGGTGATGGTGGGGCCCAGACCCTCCTCTCAGGGCCTGCAACCTCTCCGTGTCTTAGACACCTGGCTTCCAGTAGCTCCTGTGACCCCCATGCTGGCCCACTTACTAAATGAGGAAGAATATATCCTGAGGACTCCATCACCCAGGCCTCCCTCTGGGATCCCGGGACCCGCAGAGAGCTACCAGTGTCAAATCTTGCCCTTTCTCTTATTCTTCTGCATGACAACTGAAGGCACATTTTGCTCTCCAGGACCAGCTCCTGGGAAGAACTGACTTGCTTCAAGGTAAATAGAGGAGGAAAAGTACGCGGGGCAGAGAAAGCAGGACTGAGAGGACATAGTCCTATGTGTTAGGTTTTTAAAAAGAGGTAACCGAGTAAAAACTGCACCAGCACGCAAGTGGTATTCAGGTAAGGGGTAGGTTTATTCAGTAGACCTGCTGGGACCAGGCAAGGTTGGCACTCCACGTGGCTGGGAAAGAGAGAGGAAAGAGCTAGAGCAGAGAGAGAGCAGAGAGAGCTAGAAAAGAAGAGCAAGAGCAAGAGAGCTAGAAAAGAAGAGCAAGAGCAAGAGAGCTAGAAAAGAAGAGCAAGAGCAAGAGCTAGAAACGAACAGAGAGAGAGAGAGAGAGTCTGGGCCTGGGCTAGGCCTTATGTAGGGTATGGGTGGGGAAAGGTGTGGCCACATCAAATTCAGATGTGACCTCAGCGGATGCAGATGTGACCTCTTCCAGGTGTCCCAGTTGCCTAGGTAACGCAGGTACTGGGTGGAGACTTTGCTGCGAGGAGGGTGGAGTCTGCTCGCCATCCAGGAGGGAACCTTACATTCCAGCCTTTTAATAATCATGAAATAGGGCGAGGATTCTCTCTGGCTACTTCCTGCTGACAAGGGGCGTCGACAATAGGGGTAAAAGGCTGGAATTTGGTCTCCTCCCAGAGAAGGCAGCGAGCAGCAGCTGTCCCTTGGTGGCGTGAGTCCTTAGGTGAAGTATGGAGAAGTCTCATGAGCATTGAGGGGCTGGAAAAAAAAATACTAAGCAGCAAATAAATGACAAGAGGAAGGACTTGGGGCTGAAAATGTTGGTAGAAATGTCCCTAGATACTTCTGACATCTGGCGACTAGGTAGAGAAGTCAGGGGACAAAGGCAAGAATATAAATTCCTGTTCCATTAATAGGTAGACAGGTATAGACATTGGCTGGGTAGGCTTCTTACTTCCACTGACCTCCCGGCTCTGGTTAATTTTGAAAGGGCAGGCACAAAGTAGCTGATGTGACATTATCTCCTCTTACTCTTCTCCATGTTCCCTTGTTCCCCAGACTGGCTGAGTCTAGGTGCTCATTGCTGGGATGGCTTGTCCCAGTTGGTATTCAAGATTTGAACTCAAGGCCTGGGCACTGTCCCAGAGCACTTCTGCTCAAGGCTAGCACTGAAACACTTTGAGTTATAGTACCACTAGTATTTAAGGAGGTTTGAACTCAAGGCCTGGGCACTGTCCCTGAGCACTTCTGCTCAAGGCTAGCACTGAACCACTTTGAGTTATAGTACCACTTGCAGAGTTTAGCTGGGAGATGGAGTCTTAGGGATTTTTCAGCCTGGGCTGGCTTTGAACTGCAGTCTTTGCCTCAAAAGCCCTTTATTATTTCCAATTAAAGCAACAAGGAGATCAAGTAGAATAAGTAGAGCTTACCTGGTCCTTAACAAGAATTGCCAACAAATATTCTGAAATGACAAAACTCATTAGATGTGATGATAATTTTAGCACAGATATGCCCAGTATTTTAGAACCATGTAGTCAGTAGTAGAATACACAACACAAAACACAAAAGGCAAAACTCAAAACCTAAAATTTTGACAACGTTTAGACATCTTTGCTAACAAAGCACATCAGATGGTTGGGCCTCAGTTACCAGGGCCTGTGAAAAGAGCAACTTGTTAGCAAGGCACCTTAGAATAGATGGATGGAGTAGTAAACTTAGTGGAAGGTTAAGGGTCAGATGGGGCCAAACCCTTAACCTACCACGTGGCCAAGATGGCGAATTCAAGATGGCGAATTTCTGAAAAAATGCAAAGAAAGCCTGAACAAATAGATCAAGCCTACATTGGCTAGCCTTTGAGAGGGAACCTAGAGGGGGGTCCCTGGGACCCAGCCTGCGTCACACTCTTCAAGGCACAAGCCAAAAAGTTGTAGAAAAAAAAGGGTAGAAACTTGCCCATGAATGGCAGAGAGAGAGCAAAGAGAGCCCGAAAGTAAACAGACTTCTGATCATTTACCATTGCAGTAGCAAAAACTGTACTTCTGAGAATGGCATAAAAATGAGGCTCTCTGGCTTTCCAGGGAGCGCAGGAGACATTTCAAAGGGGTTTCACGGCTCAGGCATGATTCGTAGCACCCCATTAAATGAGTAGAGTCAGTCTGGTGAGTGAGGGAGAGCTGACCAGGCAGAAGCGGCGTCCCAACTTCCCCCAGAGCCCTCTAGAGAGAAATGGCCAAGCCCCCAAAACCAAGCGTCCTCGGCTTCTGAGGTGACCGGCCTTTCAGCTAAAGGCCGTAGGAGCTCTCTGGCGTGGCACCACGTCTGGACAGAGACTGAGTAACAGAGAGCCGTAGAGTAGTTTCACTCACCAGAGTAGAGAAGTGGTGTGGACGTGGATGTGAAGGCAGCAATGGTATCGATGCGCTGATTCCGCCGCAGACAGACTGGTTCGCAAAAGGCCGTCAGAACTGTGGGTATTCCTCAGAGCAAAAAGGGAAGAACAAAAAAAGAAAAAAGAGGAAAAAAACAGAGAGGAATCCCAGCTATTCTGACTTTAAGCCTTTATCCGAGTCACGGCACCATTTATGTTAGGTTTTTAAAAAGAGGTAACCGAGTAAAAACTGCACCAGCACGCACGTGGTATTCAGGTAAGGGGTAGGTTTATTCAGTAGACCTGCTGGGACCAGGCAAGGTTGGCACTCCCCGTGGCTGGGAAAGGCCTGGAAAGGAGAGAGAGCTGAGAAAGAGAGGAAAGAGCTAGAAAAGAGCAGAGAGAGGGGTAAGAACAGTAGCACTCACGTGGTATTCAGGTAAAGGGTAGGTTTATTCAGTAGACCTGCTGGGACCAGGCAAGGTTGGCACTCCCCGTGGCTGGGAAAGAGAGAGGAAAGAGCTAGAGCAGAGAGAGAGCAGAGAGAGCTAGAAAAGAAGAGCAAGAGTTAGAAACGAACAGAGAGAGAAAGAGAGAGTCTGGGCCTGGGCTAGGCCTTATGTAGGGTATGGGCGGGGAAAGGTGTGGCCACATCAAATTCAGATGTGACCTCTTCCAGGTGTCTCAGTTGCCTAGGTAACGCAGGTACTGGGTGGAGACTTTGCTGCGAGGAGGGTGGAGTCTGCTTGCCATCCAGGAGGGAACCTTACACTATGGACTGGGTGAGTGAAGGAATAGAGCTGTTTCCCTTTGTGTCATGTTCAGACTTTTCTTCCACATGAGGTAAGTAGAATCGTCACACCTCTGAGCCACTCAGAGATGCCGGGACACCAAGCTAAAGGTGTCCTGGGGACTTCTTCAGGGTCAACCCAGAGAAGAGGGGAAGGTGGGAGGAGAGGAGCAGCCACAGTGCTGTCTCCTGAATCCTCCACTCCTGATCCCTGCTCCCGCTTCATTTCCCCATTGCGTCGCTGGTGTCCTCTCCCTGGCCCTACCTTTGGACTAGCTCCACCAGAGGAGACAGAGGAGACAGTGAACACCTGGGCCATGACTGTAAACAAAGGTCAGATGGGAAGCCCCACAGACAAGGGTTTAGGGAACGCCTCTTGTTCCCTCATGGGGCTCCCCTTCTGCTTTTCTGACTCCTCTGAAGGGTGACTCGCCTTGGAGCTAAGCATTGAACAGAACTCAGTCAGAGAAGAAGATGTGACTACCTGGGAAGGCCTCAAAGAATTCTGGTTCCATGGGTCCAGCGGTGCAATCGCTGAGAGGTTTGCCTTCTCGTCTCGGGCGGTGTCCAGGCTGTAGGAAGAAAGGACACATCATGAACGCATCATGTGAGGCACATCATGTGAGGCAGGTCCAGCCACAGACTTCTTGCGCCTCGGGGTGTTCGCATCCGCTCTATGAGATGAGGACCCCTGCTGGCTCCTGCTTCCCTGCAGAAGGCATGACCACAGTGTCCGAAGACAAGAATGAAAGAGCCAGACTTGAATTCAACTCCTTCTGATTGAAATCCCATGATCTCAACGACTATACTCTGCTTCTTCAAATATACAAAAAGTAATTACTCACATCTGCATGTGTATAGCAAAGAACTCTCTCTTTCCAAAAGGTGTACAGGACCCGTTTCCCAAGCCACTATCATAGAACATTCATTAGTGTGCCTGTGTTTCCCCAAACCCTGAATCTTCCTTCAGCAGGATCCTTTCTTCCACCAGGGCCTCGAAACAGACCCTGTCCCCTGCTCTGAACTGCCCCTTTCTTCTGCGGTCCTGCCCTAATGGTCAGCTCATACTTGCTTCTAATCCCTTCAGGAGTAGAAAAACTTTTTCCTGCGACAGTCCATTTGTATACTTCTAACATCATTTTTGGACCATACACAATGATCAATACAGGCAGAGCAGTTACAGGCAGCAAACAAGAATGCACGTCTGTCCTGTTTACGCAAAAATGAGTTTGCAGGCCCTCTATGGCCCATAGGTCAGAAGTTCCCCACCCTTGATTATAAATAGTAGTGCAATTTACAAAACTGACTGAGAGAAATGTGGGGAGCAGGGCAGGTGTGGGGGCGGGGGAGAGGCAATCCAGCCGTGGCAAAAGGCAACAAGTCCATAATAATAGGTCTAATGGCTGAGAAGCAGAATTTCTTGGGGAATTCAAAAGAATGACCAATAAAATGATCAATGAACAGGAGGAATAAACGTCCTCTCGAATGAATTCTGAGAAACAAAAAAACTGAATGAAATAAGAAAGACGATGGAGGAGCTGAAGAGGAGTTCAGTTGAGATAGAGGATCTTGAAAAAAAAAACATTAAAATTCTGGAAAAGATTAACTCAGTAAGTCAAATAGAAACTCAGTCTTGGAACTGCTGTGGAGAGCAGAGTCTGAGGACTCTGCTTGCCGGGGATGGGGGTGGAGGGAAGCTGGGCGGATTCTGCCAGGAAGCAAGGCATGGTGTGTCCAGGTTTTAGCCAGGAGGTCCAAAGTCCCTTCTGCCCCAGGAGACACCCCAGGCCCTGTCTCAGGCTCCACCCCTGTGAACCTCACTCCACTGGGATCACAAATACAGGAAAGGGTGGAGGGTGGAATGTCCTCACTGCCCCGGCTGCTCCCTTCTCCCCACCCCTCACACAAAAGCAGGAAATGTAGGTTAATACTGAGAGGTGTAATTTGAAAACTTGCACATTGGCCAGACTTTAAATGACCAAATGCCGCCATGTCTGGCAAGCCGTGGACAGCGCATCAGGTCTGCTGTCAAGTTTCCAGAGTTTTAAAGAATAATCACCAATGCCCAGCTACCCTGGCAATGTGCTCCAGACATGGCCAAGCACCCTCCCCTGCAGGTCTCTAGTACACACAAAGTAGCACACAGGCAAATAAGAAACCATGAGTGAGTAACTGGGCATAGCAGACCACCCTTCAACACAGGAGGAGAAGCAGCCTGGGGGAAGAGACCCAGGAGGCCGGCGCAGTACGGATTGGGCATGCATGGAGCCCCGTCTGCAGCAGGAGTGTGTAGACCTGCATGAGCATGTGTATATGTGCGTATGTGTTCTGTTGGCGTATATGTGAGGTTTAGATCTTCCCCAGATACCGTAATTTAAATGTAATTATTGACCATTTAACACCAAACACCCAGTAACACTTGCTCTGGCAATCTAGGCTTAGTCTATTACCACAGCACATCACCAGCATCTGAGAAAGGGACCCAGGCCTCCTGCTCCCCTGGCATCCCACAGCTCCTGCGGCTCCGGTGTTCCCAATGCCTGATCCATCCTCACTGCCCCTGCACCTCCCACCCACCCTAGAGATGGGCAGAAGCCTGCTAGGGCTTCAACAGGGCTGGGTCCTAACTCCATCCATCCACCAAAGTAGCTCAGAGAAGGGAAGTGACTTGCTTAGTGAGACACAGCTCTGGAGAGCAGAGTGGAGTTCCACACTGGCCCTCTGACTCTGAATTGAAGCAAAATGTGTGACTGTAAAAATCCAGAAGTTTCTAGGTTTTTTCCTCTGCTTCCACACACACAGAGCCAGAGCTAGGCCTTTGATTGTAAGACTGCAAACCAGGATGGTGCTGGGCATGCTGTCCCCAGACCTGGTCACCTTGGCATCTGGACACACGGGTGCCCCATCCTCTTCCTCCATCTCCCACAGGCAGAGCCAGGCCATCTGCCCACTCTGCCTCCTCCCCAGGCAGGGAATTGGGGGGGGGAGAGCGGGTCATGCCCAACTCACCACAGACTCTCCCCCTGATGGGCTTGCTGGCGACCCAGTGGTCTGTGGCTGTGTGCGATGTGTGGTCAGCTGTTCCTCGGTCACAATAACGTAGACCCAGGCTAGATATGCACAGGGAAGGGAAAGGGAAATTGAAAGTTCTCAATTCTGCGATGACTCACCCAAACGATCCACTCAGCCTGACTTTCTGGGCCCTTCACAACCCAAATCATCCTCCCAGGGTCTCCTTAGTCTTTAGGAGGAAAGCCTTGCCATACCACCTAGACTTGGTTCAGACCCTCGCCCCTGCACAATCCCTCCACCCCTCTCCATCCTCCCCACCTCTCCCTGCACCCTGCATGCTCACTGCAGGCTCTTTGCTGGGCTGTGGCTGGGCGTCCTGTCCATACAGCTTTTAGACAGTGGCCTGCATGGCTTCCTCTGCCAGGATCTCCAGCTTCTGCCACCTGGAAACATCATGCCTTGCTTCCTGGCTGAACCCCACCAGCTTCGCCCCCCCCCCCCCCAGGTCACCAGAGGCCACTGACCCTGCTCAGCCTCTATGGCACCTGGTCAAGAGGGGACAAAGTCCACAGCAGCTCTAAAACTTCTGAGCCTCATAGCTGCCTTCCTGGCAGAGGAGCTGCAGTTGGGGCTGGACTCCGGAGGTCAGCCTGACCCCTCAGATGGGGCCTTTCTCACCCTGAGATCGCCATCCTAGACAAGGCTGCAGGGCTGTGCTATCACCTGCTCAGTGCTCTGAGGCGGGATGGTGGGTGGCCTAGAACTCTCACACTAAGTTCTCAGTGGACCTCCTTCCCTACTTGGCTGGAGTTTTAGAACCATTTCCTAAAAAATCAATATTTCTCCCTGTTTTTCACGCTGACATAAAATACTGTACATATTTGTGGAGCTGTACATATTTGTGGAGTGTGAGCTCTGATGCTCCAGGTGAGGAAACTGAGGCCAAGGCAAGGTCCGGTGACCTGCCTTACTTTTCACAGTAGTGCTGGTGCCAAGACTTGAACCAAGTCCTTCTGATTGAAGTCTCATTTTCTTGATGACTATGTTTTGTTCCCCTAAATAGATGAAACTATGCATTCATGTATATATGTTGATTATAACAACTCCCTCCTTCCAAATCAATGTCTTATACCTGATTCCCGGGTCTCTGTCTTGTTATATTTGCTGGTGACACTGTCTTCCCCAAATCTGCACATTCCTTGCTTCTACAGGATCCTTCCTCCCAGCTAGAGTGGGCTGCCCAGGCCCCTTAGCTGTCTTCCTGTAATTGTTGGGTATTAGATTGTTTCTAGTCCTTGAGAGAAAATGTAAACTTTCTCATATCTAAGCACACTGTTATACAACAAATTGTACCAATTTACATCCACTCAGGCAGTATATGAGTGTGTCTATCTTTTGTTATTGTTGGTGGTGGTTGTGGGGCTTGAACTCAGGGCCTGGGCACTGTCTCTGAGCAATTTTGCTCAAGGCTAGCATCCTACCACTTTGAGCCACAGCTTAACTTCTGGTTTTTGAGTGATTAATTGGAGATAAGAGTCTCACAGGAACTTCTCTGACCAGGCTGGCTTTGAGCCACAATCCTCAAACCTAAGCCTCCTGAGTAGCTAAGATTACAGGTGTGAACCACCAGCGCCCAGCTTCCTTCTCCTTCCTTTGTTTCCTCCATTTAGGGGCCACCTAAGAAATCTGTCTGCCTCCAGGATGCCTTGTCTTAGCATGGCACTGGAACTGCACCCCAGGCAGCCTTGTGAACCACTTGAGTGGTTTCTCCACCTTCTTTTCTGTACAGGGAGATGGAGGAACAATCAGACTCAAACCTAGCTATAAATCCAAGTTCTCCTACTGCCTAGCACTATGGCCAAGAAGCCGATTGCCTCACTTATCTGAGTTCATCTATAAGATGAGAACAAATCCTTCTCTGTCAGAGCGCTAGTGGGGATGAGGAGGGTGGGGATGAGGAGGGTGGATCATACCATCTCCAACTTACCACAGAATCTTCTCCTGGCTGAGTTTGGATATAGCCCAGCTCTCCTTAACTGTTTGGGTCCAGTTACAAGCTCTATGTCTGAGTTGGGAGCTTCATCTATCCTCTGTGGTACCCCAAAATGAAAATCTCAGCTTGTAGGATGCCACCCTCAGCCTCACCCACTTTGCTCATCTACTCACAGGAGTGACTCGGGCCCTGCATTTCAAGTCCTTCTCAGTCTATTTCTTAAAGATCTAATTTTTCCATTAAAAAATCATTTGGTTTTTTTTGTTTGTTGTTTCTCAGATCCAAGATTGACCTCAGGCCTTTGAGCTCTGCTTGGCTTTCTTGCTCATGGCTGACCCACTACCACTTGAGCCATGCCTCTAACCTAGATTTTTCTGCTATTTAGGTGGAGGTAGCATCTCAGGACGTATTGCCCAAGCCTGGCTTTGAACAGTGATCCTTCAGATCTCAGCTTCATGAGTACCCAGGATGACAGGTATAAACCACTATCTCTCAGAATACTTCATTGCTCTGTGTGTGTGAGTGTGTGTGTGTGTGTGTGTGTGTGTGTGTGTGTGTGTGTGTGTGTGTACATGCCATTCCTGGGGCTTGAACTCAGGACCTTGGTGCTGTCTCTGAGCTTTTTGCTCAAGGCTAGCAGTCTATCACTTGAGCCACAGCTCTACTTCTGGATATTTTGGTGGTTACTTGGAGAGAAGAGTCTCATGGACCTTCCTGCCTGGGTTGGCTTTGAACCACAACTTCAGATCTCAGCCTCTTGAGTAGCTAGGATTACAGGCATGAGCCACTGTGCTTTTTGAGACAAGAGCTTGCTATGTATACTAGGCTGCCCATAACTCCATGTCCTCCGGCCTAAGCCTCTGATGTCCTAGGAGTCCAGATGTGTGCCACCATGATGAGCAAAACAGTCTACATATTTTTGAAATTAACTTGTAAAAATTGGTCATACATTTGGGGTATGTGCTCTGATTTTCCAGATGAGGAAACTAAAGAAACTAAGAAGGGAAACTTCCACAGGGAAATCATCCCAGAATGGACAATGGACTGTTGACCAGGCCTGCCCTTAACCTACATACAGCACCAACCCATACTTCAGGAATAACTTTTCCTCTCTCTGAGCAGTGCATGGAAGCAGACCTGATGCCCTGAGAACATAAGCAGATGTCTGGCTACTGAGATAGATACCCCCCTGGTCCAGTAGGAGAAACCGCACTTCAATCATGTCACTACTCAGTCCTGTCTGAACACTGAGAATAATTCAACTAAAGGAATACCAGTAACTGAAACGTCTATGACATGGATACAGACGTAGAAATTCCAATGCAGAAACAAGAAATAGAAAAAGCAGTGCAATATGACTCCTCCAAAAGTTAATGCTTTCACAGTGATGATATCCCAGTGATAATGGAGAAGATGAGATCAGAGACAAAGAACTCAGAAAAAATGATGACGAGAATAATCAACAAATGTAAAGAGGACAGAAGTGGCGCTGTGGCTCAAGCGGTAGAGCGCCCGCCTTGAGCTGAAGAGCGCGGGTACAGAGCCCGAGCCCAGAGTTCAAGCCCCACGACTGACAAAATAAAAACAACAACAAAAACAAACAAATTCAAAGAGGACATACATACACTTGAATGAATCCTAAGAGAAGAAAAAGACTACAAATAAAGCATGGAATGAAATAAAGAAGATAATGCATGGGGCTGGGAAGGTGGCTCAGTGGTAGAGCACTTGCCTTGCATGCCTGAGGCCCTGGGTTCGATTCCTCAGCACCACATAAGAAAAAAGAAAAAAGCCGGAAGTGGTGCTGTGGCTCAAGCAGTAGAGCGCTAGCCTTGAGCTCAAGAGCTGAGGGACAGTGCCCAGGCCCAGAGTTCAGGCCCCATGACCAGGCCCAAAAAAAAAAAAAAGAAGATAATGCAGGATATGAAAGAGAATGTCAATAATAATATAAGAATCCTGGGGTGGGAAGTGAAATTCTAGAAATGAAAAGCTCAGTATCTCAAATTAACATCAATTTGAAAATCTAAACAATACAGTGCATCAAACTGAATATAGATTATCAGAGCTTAATAACAAGGTAGATGAATTGCACCATTCAGAAAAAAAAGAAAAAAATGAAGTATGAATAAACATACAAGATCCCTGTTACACCAACAGTTAAAAGACAAAAATTATAAATCATGGGCAGAAAGAGAAGAGGTGAAAGCTAAGGTATAGAAAAATATATATTTGGCAAATTCATAGCAGAAAATGTCTCAAATCTTGAGAGAAAACCAATTATCCAGGTACAGGAGACTTTTAAAACACCAAACACGCAAGAACAAAAAAAGAACTCTCCAAAGCAGATTGTATTTAAAACATCAACTATAAAGAAGGAAATAAACTAGAAAGCTCCAAGAGGAAAGTGAGGGCTTACATACATAAAAACAACAGGACATGCATCAACACAAACTCTAAACATACGGAGTAGGATCTACTTCAAGGCCTGAAAGGAAATACCTACCAACGCAAACTACTGAACCCAGCAAAGCTATACAACTGAGGATGAACTAAAAATGGTCCACAATAAAGAAAGATGTTTTAACCACTAAGCCAGAACTGAAGAAGATTCTTAAAGGAATCCTACACACAGAAAAGGAAGATAAAATTGACAGAATACAGGAAAAAATAAATACACTTGGGTGCATTGTTAAACAAATGAGGAGTAAGGCAGCATCAAATACAACAAAAATAGCAAAATAACAGGTATTACAACAAACCTTTCGACAACAGCTGAATGCTAACAGTGCATATCTTTCAGGTTCCCGGTAGTCAACTGAAATGTGTCTTCTCAGAAGTTGAAGGTCATCAGCCAGGCTACTCTAGTAAGATTGTCTAAGAGAGGCCACTGGATATTATGTCTTTACCAAAACATCAAAATAAAAGTCAACACTTGTTTTAGGAGGACTTAGAGATCAGTACCTATCACCGGGGGCTCACCGGGGTCTGAGTATGGACAGCCCTGGCCCACAGTTTTACTGCTCCAATCTGTCCAATGGCCAACAGTCAAACACTCTTCTTAATTCTGCATCTTTCCATCTCTTTCCTTGGCCTCAGCTGGTGCCTGCCTGTGGGGATAGATTCTTTCCTGATCATTTTCCTGACATCATCAGTTACTACTTATTGAAATGGGGTTTCCAGAAAACAAGATGGAAGGAAGCAGATGTATTTCTGATGTCCAGCATCCCTTCCCTAGATGAAGAGAAAATTGTAGCTCTGAATGGTGCATCGACTCACCCCAAGCTGTCCATCTCTAGAGTCCACAAAGTTCTCTGACATTTCCTCAAATCTGGCGTCACTAACCACCTCAACCAAACACTGTTCAACACAGCATCTGGACTTTCAAGAGGGATGGCCGCATGCCTGAGCCCCACCCACGTTACTGACAGCACCCTCATCATCATGATCATCATCATGATCATCATCTCCACTCCATCATCTCCATCATCATCACTTTTGCTGTCACCAAGAAGTCACGGCCTGAGCCAGAACGAAGATGAGTTGATATTGAAGAAACAGGATGAGACCCCAAGGCAAGCCTTTATTATTGCTGGGACATCAGACAATGGGACTGTCCTCATGGAACCACGGTGTCTTCCTCCTTATTCCAGCAATTCTTTTTTGTTGTTGTTGTTGGTCATGGGGCTTAAACTCTGAGCCTGGGCACTGTCCCTCAGCTCTTCAGCTCAAGGCTAGCACTCTTATTGCTTGAGCCACAGCGCCACTTTTGGTTTTCTGGTGGTTTATTGGAGATAAGAGTTTCACAGACTTTCCTGCCCAGACTGGCTTTGGACTGTGATCCTCAGATCTCAGCCTCCTGAGCAGCTAGGATGACAGGCGTGAGCTACCGGTGCCCAGCTTATTCTAGCAATTCTAACTCTTGACTTTCTCTCCTTTCAGCTCTTCAATTTCCTGACCTTCTTTTCATGGCTATTCCTATGAATCCTCCATCTATCCATGCTCCTGTGTGTTCTTCCATCCCCAGTAAACCATTCCTCCTGTTCCCCATGCTCTTGGGGCCTATTTTGTCCCCATCTTAGGCTCCAGGCTCTCTTCCACCCACTTGCTAGCTGCACTCCCTTCACTGTGCTCAGCCCCCGTGTTGTCCAACTCCTTTCCACCTCATCCCATAGACCCGTCTTACTCCCATTCTCCCTCTAACACGGTGCCTGTATTCGCCCATACCTCTGCCCTGCACTTCTCCCTTGACCTCTGGGCTGCTCAGGAAGGTGGGATCATGCCACTGAGCTGGTCCTGGACCTTGACAAGGAACTCCAACTTGCTCTCCAGCTCCTGGGCCACCCGGCGCAGCTCTTTGGCCAACTCTAACTCTGCCCCCTTAGACAAATGCTGTGAATCTTGCACGAGGCTGGTCACATCCATCCCAAGCAAGACACCTGTGGTGACGGCCCCCAAGATTCGGGCTCCTCTGGTCATCACCTGTGCAGTGCCCCCAGAGGCTCTCTCCACACTCTCAAAGCCTCTCGAAGATCTCCAAGTGTTCGTTAGGCCCCTCGCCTGTCGCAGTACCTGAGGGTTGGCTCTGGCCTGTCTGAAGGCACGGACATGTTTCCCCAGCTTTGTCAGGCTCTGGAGAAACTCATCAGATGCCAATACAACTTTAGGTGTGGTCTTAGCCGCAGCCACTAAATAATCATTCAGTGTCTCCAGGCTGACTGACACCAGGTTGCTGGCTTCATCTCTGACGGATAATATATTTGTTGCTTCCACAGTGCTGGTGGCAGCACTGGTCACCGAAGCTGCTGCTCCCAGCCCTATCCCACCCAGAGACAGCCCCAGACTGAGTCCTGCTGTGAAAGGTGCCAGAGCAAGACCACTGAGGGTCATGAGTCCAGAGGCAACAGCTGTGAAGTTGGCCACAATGCTGGAGATGGTGCAGTCCTTGTGCACCTTGCTGACCTCCTCTGCAAGGGCCCGGAGCCTCCTGATGCACCCCTCAACTTCTGATTTCACCTGAGGAAACCTCCCCGCAAAGATCTTCATATCCTTCAGGTCTTTCTGGAGCCTGTCTTTGTTGTCCATGGCCATGGATTCTGGAAGCTTCCTCAGAGCTTCTCGTAGCTCATCTTCTTCATCCCTGTAAAAGTTAAGGTAATATAATTAAGAGCATTTGCAACTGGGTGCCAGCGGCTCACACATTAACCCTACTGCTAAGGAAGCTAAGACCTGGAGGACCATGATTTTAACCAGCCTGCAGCAGAAAACTCTGTGATGCAGTATTGTCAATTAACCGGCAAAATGTCAGACTAGAGGCAGAACACCAGCCCAGAGCAAGAAAGCTGAGCGGAAGCACAAGGCCCTGAGATCAAATCCTGATAGTGGCGTGCGCGCACCCACGCACGAACACGCACACACACACACAAACACACACACACACACGGACCATTTGCTTATCTGTAAAATGGACATACACAAGTCACAACACTTTTTACTAGGATGGAAAAGGAGTCTATAGATTTCCAGCATCATTCTTTCAAAGGTGAATATGTTTAGCATGTCACAGATGCTTTGTGGCCATACTCAAGGTATTTTATTACATACCTACACAAGTGTCAAAATCAAGAAGAAGAAAACAACCCGAACCCAAACCATTCTGGCTTCACAGTTTCCAGACAATAGACATCCAGTCCTAGCAGTGTGATGTGGTGCGTGCTTTGGCATCATTTCTAACATACAGAGGCACTAGAGACTAAAGGCACTGAGCTCTGGGAGGGAGCGAGGCTGCAGGGTAGACAGGAGGAGGGTGTGATTAAGCCTCATGATGGAATCTGGGTTGTCATCCTGACTGGCTGGAGATGCGCCTGGGAACTTGATGATAAAGCACAGTATGCCTGTGCCCCACGGCGAGTCTCCAGAGATGACTGGCCTCTGGGCCAGTGACCTGGGGGAGGAGGGCCACACGGGAGGAGCTGGACACCATGCAATGTGTGCGGGTGGGGGAGAGGGAGGTAGGGAAGATGGGGAGGAGGGTGAGGAGAAGACAAGGGGGAGAAGAGGGAAGTCCTACTTAGCAGGTCACCTGGACAGTCCAGCCGCAGCCACAAACACCTCCCAGATTTGGTCTTCAGTCACCAGGAGGCTGGCATACTCTGGGCCCAGTTGGTCCACAAGAAAATCAGTGACATGCTCAACAAATAGTCTGCCATCTATTTGGGGGGAATAAAGAGGTCAGAGGACAGGGCAGAGTTCAGGGGTGTAGGAAGACATGCTATGTGGACCTGTCCCATGGGATGCTATCTAGCTTGGTACTGAGCCTCACCCTCCAGTTCACAGGAAAAGTCCTAACCCCAGTGACTGTGTGTGGACACAGGTCCCTTAACGAAGTGCAGGAATTAAGATGAATCAAAGCTGAGCCTGGTGGCACACGTCTGTAACCCAGCTACTTTGGAGTCTGAGACAGAATCACAGTGTGAGGTCAGCCTGAGCAAGAAATCAGCCAGACCTCATCTCAACAAACACATGAGGCCTAGTGGTGCAGGCCTGAGCTCCACTGGGACACAGGCAGAAGGCCATGGTCTCACGCTGGTCTCTGGAAGAAGCAGGAGACCCTGTGCAGGAATGGACAGCTGGACATCAGTTTTGACATCGCCGATGGGACACTTCACATTGCTGTGAAGTCTGCATTGGAACGCTCCCCGAGCCCGAGGGGCTGGATGAGGTGAGGATCACGAGTGGGAGCTGTGGAGTGATCTGGTGGTGCAGAGAGCAGCCTCCTGCGGAGGGCGGAGGCTCTGGGACAGCGGTGGGGGTGGAGGTGGCACTGCTGCGCCTCGGCTCAGTCCTGTGACTCTCCAGGGCTCAGGGGACCTGGCTCCGGAGCAGTTCTCAAAGGAGGGAGATTTATCCTGACGACTCCATCACCCAGGCCTCCCTCCAGGATCCCAGGCCCTGCGGGGAGTGGGGCCTGGAATCTTCCCCCTCTCTCCTTCCTTGCTCTGCAGGGCTGGCTCCTGGGAAGGACTGACCTGGTTGAAGGCAGGTGGGGGAGGGGAGGCAAGGGGAGCAAGCAGGCCTGAGGGATGTGGGGTGGGTGGGTGGGTGGATGGGGTCCTGGGAGGAGGCCTCTGCCCTCTCTGTCCCTTTCAGGCTCTTCTTCCACATGGTCAGGAGACCCAGCCCTTTTGGGGCCGTCACCGCTGTAAGCAGGTGCTTGTCCCTGCAGTGTGGCGGGCACCTGCCACAGCTTCAGGCGGGATGGGGAGGCTGCATGGCACAGGAGCAGGTGCAGGTGCAGGGAGGGAACTGGCACTAGGGGCGCTGGGGTGTGGCAGGTCCTGGCCTGGGGACCTAGGCGCATCACCTCTGACCCTCAGAGCAACATGGGCAAAAGCTGCTCTCATGTCACCGGTGGGGGCAGGGGCACCAAGGTCACACTGGGGCCCAGTCCAGTGACATTCTGAGTCACTCTTGCTCTGAGCCCTTCAGAGATCCTGAGCCACCCATGAAGTTACCTTAGAAGTAGGGGAGGTGGAGAACAAGGGACATATATAGGTTGGGGTAGATCTCCTGTCTCTGTCCCCTTCTGTCCTCCTGTTCCCCTCTTCCTCTCTTCTCTGTCCTCCCCATCAGCAGGGCTCTCCTGGCCCCATCTAGGGAGACACAGTCAGCAGGAAGTGAGCACCCGGGGCCCAGCCCTCCAGGAGAGGGCCAGGAAGCCCAATGATGGATGTAAACTTTGATGTTCACTCTTGGGGTGCCCCTCCTCCAGCTCTGATTCCTCTGCAGGCCAACTGCACTTGGAGCTGCCCCTCAGGGCCAGGCCTGCAGCAGGAGGCAGACAGAGAAGAGGACCGTGATTACCTGGGGAGGTCACCAGCTTCATGGCGGTGTCTATGAAAAGACTTCTTGTACTCATGGTTGCTTTCCAAGCTGCAGAAGGAGAGAAGAACACAGTGCGGATGGACTGGGGCAGCTCCAGCTGGGACCAGGCAGCAGGGGCCAGGTCCCCTCGCTTCCCTCCAGGGTGCCAGGGCCCAAGCCACCCTGGCCCTCTTCCCCTGTGCTCCGTGGCTATGGATAGAAAGTTAGTCACCTTGCTCCAGCTCCCTCTGCCCTCAGCACAGCCAAGGCAGAGGCCTCTTGGTCTTTTAGATCCAACAAAAAAGAACATATAGGACTATATACACATATACATTTTTATGGTGCTTGGGTCAAACCCAGGGCTCCATGAAAGTTAGATAAGCATTCTATCACTGAGCTATACCCCAAGTCCCAATCGTGGTCTTAAACTATACCAGTATATTCTAAATAAAAAACTATGAAAAAAACTATGAATTAAGAAAGGTAAATGTAGTAGAGGATTTTAGAAAGATGTAAGTATATTATTTACAATTACAAAGTCCATAAATAATATATAGATTATGATTTTATGGTACTAGAAAAACATATACACCAAGCACCGACTGCTCATGCCTATAGTTCTAGTTATTCAAGAGGCTAAGATTGTGGTTTGAAGCTAGCCTGGGCAGGACAGTCTGTGAGACTGGTCTTCACTAAAGTACCAAAAAAGCTGGAAGTGGAGCTATGGCTCAAGTGGTAGAATGCTAGCCCTGAGCACAAAGAAGCAGTTAAAGGCTGGTGCCTAGGTCCTGAGTTCAAGCCCACAGACCAGCATATTGAAAAAAAAAAAAAAAGAGGGAGAAAAAGAGAGAGAGAAAGAAAGAAAGAGAAAGAAAGAAAGAGAAAGAGAGAAAGGAAGGAAAACATATGAGAAGAAATGAAATCCTTATCTGTCATAGTAGTAAATAAAATAACAGCAAAGCATCAGAATCAAGAAAAAGAAACATGGAAGAGCTGCTATATCTCATCCACCGACTTCACACAGGCACCATTGTAAGAGCTTTGAAGGCCCTGACTAATCTTTACTTCTCGCATGAATCCTGTTAGAAAAGCACAATAGTAGACAATAACTTCCCCAGTAGAGCTTCAGTAGCTCAGGAAATAAGCCAGAATTGACAAATGGGATCACATCAAACTAAAAGGCTTCTACACAACCAAGAAAGCAATTATTAGAATGAAGTGACAGCCTACAAAATGGGAGAAAATCTTTGCCAGCTACTGATTTCACAATGGATCAATAACCAAAATATAGAGGGAGATAAGGAAAAACGAAAACTCCAAAAGAACCAAAAAGCCAAGGAATAAGTAGACAAATAAATTGAACAGACAGTTCTCAAAATAAGTACAAATGGATAGTAACTGTGAAGAGATATTCCACATCCTTAGCCAGGAAGGAATCACAAAGCAAAACAAGAGAGCAACTTTGAGATTCCATCTCAGCACAGAATGGCCACCATCAAGGATACAAATGACAATCAGTATTGGTGAGGATGTTGAGATGGAAAGGAATCAGTGCAGTCACTATGTAAATAAGTATGGAGGCTCCCCAAAATATCCAAAAGAGCTACCCTATAATCCTGTGATATCCCTCTTAGACATATAAAAGTCAGGGCAACATCCATGTTTATTTCAGCACTAATCATAATAATAGGCCTAGGTACCTGTGAACAGATGAGTGAATAAAGAAAATGTGGGATACATACATATATACACATATATATGTTATACATACATACATATGTGTGTATATACACATATATATACAGTGATTGAGTGACCCAGCCCTGACTAGGGAGATCTGCTGAGGAACTTAGGGGTGGGGGGAGGTTGTTGCTATAGAGACAAGTTCAACAGGAGAGCCTGCAGCCCCTCCCTCTCCATTCCTGCTCCAGTCTACATGACCCCACACCAGGGCACCATTTTGAGATCATAAGATGCAAGAAACATGAGCCCACCCAGAGAGTAGAAATGGGTGGTCAGGAAAAAAACACTATGGCCTTGGGCAATGCACCCCACACATTGGGAAGTGTCTGTTCCCTGCTTCTCAGCCTTCCTTGCCATGCTGGTATCTGTCTGGTATCTCTGTCTCTCTGTCTCTGTCTCTCTGTCTCTGTCTCTCTCTCTCTGTCTCTCTGTCTCTCTCTCTCTCTCTCTCTCTGAGCTTTTCTTGGGTCTCAACTGAGTGCTGAGGTAGGCTAGTCCTCCTTCCAGCTCAGTGACAGACTTGCTTAGTCCCAACTGGGAGAGAAGAGGGTGTGGGTTGGGAGGAGGCACTGAGGGCTCCTGCCCCACCCTGCTTCTAGACAACTGTGCAGCCCGGATAAGGATCTGTGGTCCCCAGCTGGGCCCCAGCTCTCCGCCTGCAGCTGCCAAGAGGTGTCCTGAAAGGCCTCTCCCTCCCAGAGCTGCAGGATGTCCTTCCTGGGGCAGGAACACAGGGTTAGAGCTGCACGTGCCTCCTGAGGAATCCTTGATGAACTCCCAGGGCTAAGTGCAAGCCTGTCACCTAGCACACCTGCTCTCTTCCTTGCTACAGCTCCTGCTCTGCACCCTCCCTCCCCCCAGCTCCCCTGCCCTGTGTGCACCTTCATTCCAGGCAGCTTGGAAGCCTGGATATCTCCTGCTCACCTCTTCCTGAGGCTGCTTAAATGCCTCCCCACCATGTGAAATGTTTCCATGCTGCTCCTTCACATTGCCATGGCTCCTGCGGCATCTGGGTTCCCAATACCTGCTGTCCCCTGGTTCTCAGAGCACTGCCTTCCGCCCAAGCCCAGAGGTGCGGCAGCTTCTGCCTGGGGCTCAGCAGATGAGCAAATCCTAACTCCATCTATCAGATGATAAGGCAGAAGCTCAGAGAAGGGACGTTGTCTGGACAACGTCCAGACATAGCCTTGGTGGGCAGTTTGGAGGCCGACACTGGCTCCCTGAGTCTGAGGCTGAAATGAAACAAGTGGGATTTGAATACCACAGGTTCTAGGTTGGCCTTTACTTGTATACATGGAGTTCTCCCATGACACCCCCAAGTCAGGCTGGTGAGCAGAGCTGGGGGCAGCAGCCTGCAGCTTGACCTTCTCAGGGCCACCCTCTGGCCACCCTTCACACCAGACACCCAGGACCACCCCCACTTCACCCTCCATCTCCTGCAGGTTGAGCCAAGGCCGGCTGAGGACAAGGAGTACAAGCCTACCTTTTACCTGCTCAGCCACTTTCCAAAGACTCTGGGAAAGCCACTCCTGACCTAGGACCTCATTTTTCCACAGAGAAGGTGCTCAGAGACAGTCTGGGTGAGAAACTGCTGGCTTTCTTATACACACTCAACCTTTGCCCCCAGCAGGCCTCCACATCTCAGGACCACAAGGACTGCTGGATTCTGAGTGCCCTGCCCTCCTCTACCCATTTCCCAAAGAGGTGGTACCCCTGACAGCCACCTTCCCTCTGAGATCACTTGACCATGTTTTGGGCAACCTGACACCTGAGCGGTGAACTCATATGCTTCTGTACTAGGATACTAGGGGGGGAACAGTGAGATATAGCCTGGGTTCTGGCCCTGATTCTGTTGCTGCTTAATATCAGGACCCAGGGCAGATTGGCTGAGCACCCTTGAGCTCCTCTATAGTACAGAGGGAATAATCCTTCTCTTCCAGAGCCCTCTGAGGATGAAGAAGCAGGTGAGTCAGACCACCCCAACTTACCTTGATCTTCCCCTGGCTGAGTTTGGTGTGGTCTGCCTGTCTTGGCTGTGTGGATCCTGTCACCACCTGCACATCTGAGCCACGACCAGACACATCCTCTGGGGTAGATACAACCAAGCAGGAGAGTGAAAGCCCTGGGTTTGGACCAGCTTGCTATCAAACCGCCACTCTAGATAGGGTGCTCCTTGGGAGTCTCCCTCTGCCCACCCTCTGACCCACCCTCCCCGCTGAGTGGTTCACAAGTGTAACCTTAGCCTGACATTCCAGATCCTCAGATAAACCAAACCAAACAAACATCTGAACATTTTGGGAGAGAGAGGAGTCTTCAGGAAGAAAAATCCACCACCTATAGACTGTGGGGTGGAACTCTACAGATCATTCCCTGCACCCCCTGGACTTGAACCCAGCCCCCTGGGACAGCTCAGCCAACTTTCCACCATCAACAACAGTCTCCCCCGCATCCTAGGCACTCACTGTAGGTTCACTGCTATGCTGTGGCTGAATGTCCTGTCCACAGGCCTTCTAGACAGGTGCGTGCATGGTTCCTCAGCCAGGATCTCCAGCTCCTGCCACCTGGAAATATCATGCCATCTTCCCACCCACCGGCATCCCTCCAGGAGAGTATAAAGCTATATGCCCTGCATCCATGGCCCCTTAGGCCGCCTTTGGTCTACAGTCCCACAGCTAGTAAGTCACACAGTTGAGTTGCTGTCAGAATTCTCAGCTTGGTCCCAGGAAGAAGGGGAGCAAGCAGGGCTGGACTGCAGAAGCTAATATGGGCCTAGTGTCTCCTGGCCAAACAGCCATGGGACTTTACGGCCTAATGCTTGCTTCCTGTTTGGGAAACACAACACTGCTCAGTGCATTTATGTCTTCATTTGATTAGAATTTTATGATCATCCTTGGAAGAGCAACACTTTTCCTCTATACTTATTTGTTTATTGTGTTGGTTTGCTGGGTCTTCTTTTGAGACAAGTTCTTTCTATGAAGTCCAGACTAGTGTGTTTATGGAGCTCCTGTGGCCTCAAGAGGAAGAGCCAGAATGTTGTCCTTTGGATATTTTACCCTGCTTAAGGTTCATTTTGGGTCATTTTTCTTCTATAATTCTACCCCTCCAATAATTGTTTTTTGGCAGTCCTAAGGCTTGAACTCTGGGCCTGGGCACTGTCCCTGAGCCTCTTTTGCTCAAGGCTAGTGCTCTACCACTTGAACCACAGCACCACTTCTGGTTTTTCCTGAGTAGTTTATTGGAGATAAGAGTCTCACAGACATTCCTGCTTGGGCTGGCATCAAACTGCAATCTTCAGATCTCAGCCTCCTGAGTAGCTAGGATTACACGTGAGAGCCACCAGTGCCCAGCTTCCATTGATTCTTTCCCCCTTTTCCTAGTAAGTATGCATCAGATTGACAGCCATACAAAGCCACAGCAAGATGCAGAACTATGTCAATGTATTTGCTAGAGTGCCACCCTGTGGTGATGTGGATCCTCTGGTGACAGAATGGACTGGGACATTCATAAACTCTTGAACACGGCCTCAAGCTACAGCAACCAGGTTAGAGTTGCAGATTCACCTTAAGAGTAGAAATTTGGGTCTTAAAGATTCCATCACCTCAATCTGCTATAAAGCTGTTCCATGACCACAAGAAAAGCCAGGGAAGGTAAGCTAATGCAGTCATGGTTTTCAATATACATGGTGTGAAAAATGAACTAGGTAACTTGTGGGCAGGGGCAGGAGGGGGAAACTGGGGGAAAGTATAGGAAGGGGTGACATTATCCAGGAAACATTGTATTTATTACCTGACTTAAGGAATTGTAACCCCTCCATACAACTCCTTCAGAATAACAATAAAGGCCAGGAGTTGGTGGCTCACGCCTGTAATCCTAGCTACTCAGGAGGCTGAGATCTGAGGATTTCAGTTCAAAGCCAGCCCAGGCAGAAAGTCCATGAGACTCTTATCTCCAGTTAACCACCAGAAAACTGGAAGTGGCTCTGTGGTTCAAATGGTAGAATGCTTGCCTTGTGCTTAAGAGTTAAGGAACAGTGCCCAGGCCTAGGGTTCAAACCCAAAGCCCAACAAAAAAAAAAAAAAAAGGAATTACATACATATGTGTGTGTGTGTGTGTGTGTGTGTGTATTAGAAAAGATGACAATTGGGCAGTGGGAGGATTCTCAGTCTCTCCTAAAGATATGGATGTACAAAAGCCATGGCAGCACTTGGGGGAAAGCACAAAATACGACAGGATCACTGTTTTAAAGTTTATTTTTTTTTAAATTACAGAATAGGGCTGGGAAGGTGGCTCAGTGGTAGAGCACTTGCCTTGCATACATGAGGCCCTGGGTTCTATTCCTCAGCACCACATAAGCAAAAAAGAAAAAAGCCGGAATGGCGCTGTGGCTCAAGTGGCAGGGCACTAGCCTTGAGCTGAAGAGCTGAGGGACAGCACCCAGGCCCAGAGTTCAGGCCCCACGACCAGACCCAAAAAAAAAAAAAATAAATTACAGAATAAGCGCAGCCTGTGGTGGTCATCTCTCACATCTCTTTCCACGGCAGCAGAGTTTAAAACTTTAATAGGAAGCCAAGTTCTTTTTATTTACCAACAAGCCTGCTAGGGGAGCAGAACTCACGGGTCAGGCCCTGCTGCTCCCTCAGCTGACAACTGAGGCAAGTCTCGAGGCCTGCGCAGAGGTGACCCTGCCATCTGTACTTCAGTGGAGCTCTGCAGCATTACACTGAAGACCCCTGTCACCCCAAGGAAGCAGGAATAGACAGTGACAACAGAAAAGCTTGGCTTTTAGGTTCACAGTCATAATCTGGCTGAAAGATCTGGAATCATTTGGGAGAAGAAAAATTAGGCATTATCAGAGAGGAAGAGAGAGATCCCTTATGCTACCTATCAAAGACTAGTGACACAGCCCAGAGACAACAAGGAAGGGGATTCTATGCTGGGACCAAGGTGGAGGGTGTGTCTAGGGGCCAGCAGTGCTGTGGCTTAGATAAGGCCACAGGGTGCCCTTTCCCCTGGGCATGTGTGCTGGAAGTCTGGTCCTCAGCATGGCGTAGTTGGAGGGGTGGGACCTTTAAGAGGTGGAGCCTAGTGGGGGTCAGAAGAATGGCCCCTCCCATGTCCTGGCTTCACTTAGAATGGATGATGAAGAGTGGACTCGTTTGTCACACTGCCACCCAGGGCATCTCTCTTGACCTCTCTGCTGCTCCAAAGAGGGCCTCACCAACTCACATCCGACAGCAAACTCTCATGGACCTGCATGAGCTCCTCCAACTTCTTCTCCAGCTCCAGAGCCTGCCGCCGCAGCTCTTCTGCAGACTCTGTCTTCACCCCCAGGTGCAAATGTGTGGACTCATTCACAAGGTTGACGACATCCATCAGAAGGAAGACACCTGCAGTGGCCGCACCCATTATCCGGGCTCCTTTGGTCATTGCCAGGGCGGTGCCTCCAAAGGCTTTCTGCACCTTCCTAGTGTTTCTGACTGAGATTCTCCCCGCGGTCATGAGACGGTTGGCACTGGCCGCTAAGCCAGGGTTGGCTTTGGCCAGCCTTATGGCTTCGATGTTCTTCTGAAGGCGTGACAGGTCTTGGAAGCATTTCTTGGTTATGGAAACAACTCTGGGCTTAACCTCAGCAAGAACATCATTAGACACCTTCTCCATGTCCATTTTGGTGGACAGCAGAGAACTGGCTTCCGCTTCAGCTGACCGCTTGGTTGATGTATCCACAAGGCTCGTGGCAACACTCGTCACAGCTGCTGCGGTTCCCAACCCCATCCCAGTGGCAGAGAGCGCCAGACTGACCCCTGCCGTCACAGGGGCAAGAGCCAAGCCAAGGATGGTCAGCACCCCAGAGACCACGCCTGTGGAGCCGGCCACTACGTGGGAGATGGTGCAGTCCCTGTGCACCTTGTCAACCTTGTCAGCAAGGGCGCGGAGCTTTTTTATGCGCTCTTCAAGCTCCTCTTTAACCCGGGGAAATTCATCCAAAAACCTCTTCCTATCCTGCAGATCCTGGAGCTCATCTTCCTCCTCCATGTCTTCTGTGAGCATCTTCAGAGTGTCACGAAGCTCATCAGCTTCCTCCCTGGAACATTAAAGAGCAAATTTTTTCAGTTTGCTTCTTGGCACAAAGGGACCTGTAATCTCTATCCTGCCCAGATCACAGAGCTGCTACCGGAAATCAGATGTAGAAGGATTTTACAAAGGTACAGAGTAGTTCTTCCCATGGTGACCATGTCTAGTACATCACAGAGGGCCTGTGGTCCTCAGTCAATACGAGAACAGTGAGGAAAAGTCATCTTCAGGTGTTCCTTAGTGATTAAAAAGTTCTTTTTGAAGGCACCGGGGACTCACACCTGTCATCCTAGCTACACAGGAGACTGAGATTTGAGGATCGCAGTTTAAAGCCAGCTAAGGCAGAAAAGTCCCTGTGAGACTTTTATCTCCATTTAACCACTCAAAAAACCAGAAATGGTAGCCTGCTAGCCTTGAGTAAAAGATCTCAGGGAAAGAGCCCAGGCCCTGAGTTTAAGCCCCAGGACCAACAAAAAAAGGAAAGAAATTTTTGATTGGGATCTCTGTAGAGGAACAAAGAGATAGAGAATTCTCAGGGGCAGGAACAACAAAAACAACAACCCTCAGTGACTGCCTGCTCTCACCAGCCTGTTGGACACCTTACCTGGTGCCAGTTTTGCCTTTGCACACATAAAGACCCTGTGTACAAAGACCTCAAGAAATTTCTTAAGAAGGACATCCTTACCCCTCCCTGGACTGCCTGAGAAACAGCCCTGTCATGAGAAAACCCAGGGGACTGGGAATCCATCCTGTGGCTCCCCATGGAGGTCACCTGGACAACTTAGCCTTGGCCACAACTGCCTCCCATGCGTCATCATCCATCAGCAGGAGCTGCAGTTCCTCCCTGCTCACTGTGTCCTGGAGATACTCAGTGACCAGCTCAGTGAAGGTTTGGTTCTCTAGTTGGTTGGAAAGAAAAAGAATAAGGTTAGAGGTCGGCGAGGTGGAGCTTGAATGGTATCAAGAACAAAGGAGTTCAGGATCATGTTGTTGAGCATCTGTCACTTTGGATGGACCCCAGTGTTATGGACTGAATCACGGTCCCCAAATACACGTGTAAAAGTCCTAAC